GGCTGATAAAAATGACAAACAATTCCTGGTCGAGTTGGCTTATTCGCACCACATGAGAAAAAACCTTGGTTATATTTTGCCTAAAAAATGTGATGTTCCTTTTTATACCATCAACACTTTCTTGCGTTACAAGAGCTATGTATCGTGGATAAGGCCTATCACTATCAGTGAATGTAGATGCTTATAGCCTGCTAGCGGGCTCGCTTGTTTAGGGTCACGCGCGGCGCGCGGGTATCGAAGCGTCGGCGCCGCCTTCGCGAGCCGGCTCGTGCAGGGGGATCCGCCGCCAAGACACTCACGCGTGACCCCAAACAAGCGAGCCTGCAAGCAGTCTAGAATGCTCATAGAGGTAAAACACGTGTTAAACGAATGTGATACGTACAATAGCACGTGACAAATGATCCAGTGCAGAAAGAAGAAAGAACATGGGCGACCTGCTGGCGTTGGAGCCATCCTTTTCACTAGAAGTGATTCCTGTAAATCTGCTACCAGACCTGTAATAAAAGGTGCCTATCAGTCAACGACTTTGGTAAAAAAAAAAATTAGTGAAACGTTTACTGCTATGTTTGAAAAGCAGTAAAAAGATATTTTTCTCAAAAAGAGAAAAAATTAGAACGATGACTATCTTCCACATTTCGTCGGATAACATATTGATCTTGCTAATCTAGCCAGGTATGTAAACGTTCTTAATAAAGGTAATTTTCTCTGCTTAAGTAACCCTACGGTCTTCATTTGTGAACCGTTTTACTAAAGGAAGGTGAAGAAGTTCACACTTACCTAGCCCCCTCCCCTTGGGAACCACTTTGGGCTGTTCGTTGATTTCCACGTGACGCTACAGGGGCATGCTGGGAGTATGGTGTCTCCAGGGCTGAGCCACTGAATCCCATGGGGGGCTCGGGTGAGGCTCGTCCCGACGCACCAGCCCATGAGACGATCAAGGTCCCGGATGTAGCATAGCCAAACCAATCAGGATCCATGAAGGAAGGTCTATGAGAATTGAGAATGAAAAGGAAAGATAGCAATTAAAAATAAACCACTGACCTTCTAATTAAGAAAAAAAAGTGATATAACGCGGATAAAATCAAATGACGTTTTCTACTACTAGTAGAAAGACTGCCAGAAATAACTTGCAGTTAAAAATAACATATATGAAATATGTCACGGAGTCAGTGACGCAAATAGACGGTTTAGCTCGAATAAGAATCCGATTGGTCATTAGGGGATGGTGTCAGTTCCCTATCTAGTAACTTTTCATGTCCTAAATAATCGAAATTGCTCGTACACTATCTAAAAAACGTTCGGCTAATTTTACTAGGGTCTACACCCCAGCAAAAGGCATAATCAGAGAAGCTCATATGCACCTGTATAATGGATTGTCTGCATCTGCGGAATCCGCCAAACGCTGTAAACTGTTAATCTTCTCAAGAAATAAGTCGAAGCTGGCACCAGCTAAAAGAATCCCCATCTGAAAAAAAAAATTGTTGTTATTATGATTTATATACATTAACATCAATTATTATTCATTAAAAATATTTCCCCAATTCTGATTAGCTAAAAGCACACGCATAATTCACCATAACTAGTTACCAAATTTGACCAAATTTGGAAAAAATTTGTGTTTAACGAGGAAATGACGTTAAAAATGCAGCCTTCTACAGGTTAATGCACCGTTAATCGAGAAGACCTGGGGACGAGGTTGAGTTGTTTTCGTTGTGAAAACTAAAATGGCGGACACTTCATATCCTACTCAGCCTTCATATCCTACTCCGCCTCATTATTAATTGCTAAATATTTTTAGGCACTACTTACGTAATATGACAATTTGAAAGCTACTGGGCAGTACTTTCCCGTGGTGCTGTTTACTAAGCTATCCAAGGTGGTTCGAACTTTTAAGTCTGCATGTTAATGAAATCCTAAAGTGTGACCATTCAAATGAAAGCTACTGAGCAGTACTTTCCCGTGGTAAGGTTTACTAAGCTGTACAGGTGGTTCTAAGTTTTGAGTCTGTAAATGAAATTCTAAAGTGTGGCCATTCAAGTGAAAGCTACTGAGCAGTACTTTCTTGTGGTACTGTTTAATATGCTGTGCAAGGTGGTTTTAACTTTTACGTCGGTACACGACTCCGTAAGTATGACCAGTACTTTCCTATGGTGCTGTACTGTAGATTAACCTGTATAAAGTGGGTCCTTCATATCGATTGATCAATTCAAAAATTACATAAATAAATAAACAAATAACACCTGTGCTCTCCAGGGTAGTTCTTCACAACTGACAGCTCTCAGTTTTTTCCTTCTATGAGAGGATCTCCAGTATTCAGGCAAAACACTCTGGAGACGCTCAGTTGCCTAAAAAAAAAAACAACGAGACTCCACATCATGATAGGCAAGGATAAAATATAACTAAGACTATTAATAAATATAAGAAATGCAAAGAATACCAGGTAATAAAAAATAAAATCCCTCCCATTCGTTTCCATTTTACGCTCAATTATCTATCATAGTCTATGTACCATCACGAAACATATTTAGCCAAACTAATTAGGGAAAGCTACAGTATGAGTTTGGAAATTACTTTAAAAGTATAAGATCAGAGAACAGAAAACGCCCAGAACTTCTACTTCGGATGTACAAAGTGCTTAAGCTTTCAAGTGTAACCGCTGGGGAGAAGGCACTTCTGCGCACTGTTTCTTGCTCTAGTTTTTCTTTTAACCGTTTTTCTCCTTTCGATTTTCACATACTTACATTAAATATGTCAATCTCTTCAGCCGTGCGCCCTTTAAGTCTTCGAGCCTAATGACAAAATTTAAAAAAGGTTATTAGAATACAACACTCATGAAACTAACGGTTCAAAAAATGAAACCACCTCTAAGATTTAACAGACATAAAAAACTATAACTGTCACTAGACGACAAACACAAAATTGAAACGTTGAATTTGTGACATGCGCAGAGAAGTTTTTGGTAAAAAAATAACAACAACAACAAATTAACATGTGTTGTACAGTTAATTACCCTTCTTGACACTGTACTGGGTGCAATGGATTTCTTATGTGTCGGAGGAGGCCTGGAATACATTTCCTGTTTGTTTCGTGCAGCAATTTCGGCATCCTCTTTCTCGTCACGCCCAGTCTCTCCCCGACGACTTTTCTGAGGACTTCTTGTGGGAGGCTGAGTAACAACAACAAAAAGAACCAATCAAAACGCATCGACCGAAATAAATAGAACATTTACTGTAGTCGAATAGAGAGTGACAAACCATCTGCGCGTGACCCTTTCATTGACACAGTTTACTTGACTTTAAACGTTTCCTCACCTTACTAAACTCGACAATAGCCGTAGCAAATTTCTTGATTTTTTCTTCCTCAGGTCCCGCGGTGGCGACGGCCTGTCGCACAATCGTGGACTTGTTGCTAGCCAGTAGCATCTCGTTCCTCCTACAAAAAGGTTACAATATGTATAACCCAGAGATTAAATTATCCCCTGTCTAAACTTTGTTTCAGAAACTCATTAATAATTTATAAAGAAAAAACAACAGAAATGAACGATTAATGAGTGTCTTTATATCTGATAAAGACATGGCTAAGCTAAGCATCAGGTACAATTTGCATACTTCGATACACTGTATCTGATGATCATGACAAGTCCAGTCCGCGAGTTTGAGATTGAGCGATATTCAGCTGGATTTAAAAAGTAACTTTCTGAGTGCTTTGGTTTTGTATTGCTTCACTTCAGAAACCGCTGGAAAGTCTCGCTCCATTTTCTCAATCAATCAGAGTTAAAACCAATCGTTTTATAGCTGCAAGCGTTTTCCCGCGTTTTACACAAGCTCAATATGACATATGATTGGTTCACTCGAGTAGGACTCGTGATTACTCTGGTCTAAATAAAATAGCTGCAGCTTTGACGCACCTTACAATCCACCCAATGGTATCATTGGTCCATTCTAGAGCTGTCTCTGTCAGCCCCTCTTGCAAGGCCTTAGCCAGTACTTGAACAAAAAAGCCCAGGAAACGTGTTCGTCGCTTGAACTTCAGAACTATTAATGGAAAATGGCAACAGAATATCAAATACATGTAAATCATGAGTTATACGATAGCACAGTGCAGAAGACAAAACTTGTACCAATCAAAAGAATCATAAACTTACCAGTTTACAAGTTAAACGCTTCTGTACCGCTGAACGATTTAGCGGAAAAATGATTCATATAATTGTACTTATTCCCGCCGACATGTAACATTACGAACAATAAGAATAGAGTCGTGCCCCACGTACCCCACAATTCCGGAGTAACGTCATAGACAGAACAAGCATCTACAAGAAGAGAAGTCGTTACGTCACGTTGCAATGGTAGCAAAATTTCTGGACGACAACAAATCGAAAACGTCACTTAAAAAGTGAACTTGCGCTGTTTCAAACTTCATCGACCTTATTCATTTTCATTTTAAATTTGTCAAATGTTGGCGAAATTTTCTGGGGTTGAATCCGAAAGGAAACTATTTAAGTTTAGAAAAAGTAAAAGGAAATTTTTGTGTTGTGTTCACCTACTCCATAAGGAGGGCGCGTGAAGTTAGGAAGTTTCATGTCGCAGTCGTGCAACGACGGCTAAGAAATGTACAAAAAAAACGTGATGCACGAGCAAAGTAGTTTTCTCTTAATGCGAATCTAAACCTATTGAAGCTCCCCTTGCTGTGATCCAAAATTTTGCTACTATGGTAACGACACGTCAGACCTCTCCTCTCTCTAGAATGGGATCAGTCTCCTCGACTAACTTTGATGGAGCACACCCAAAGGGAATAAACTGAATCATAGAAAGATTAGCGGCGCGCTTTTCTTTTATTGTGATATATCTTGTGCAGTTAAATTACAGAGACAGGGAACATGTGAAGAAAGGATTCACATAAACGTAAAACGTTTGAATATCGATTGAAATAAAAGAACGTTAGTGTAAAACGGCCAGCTAAAAGGGACTCAAAAGATGCGAGAGCGAAGAATTCAAGAGGGCTTCAGTGCTAGATCCGGTCATAAAGTCCAGTTGGATAGGCTGATAGCTAAATGCCAGTGTGAGCAGATGTGCCTTGAGTGAAAATAGTGAAGATAAGAGAGAGCAGGTTTAAGTCCATCCATGGAAGTGAGAACATTGAGGTGTGGTAAAGACCCTGAGAAGTGGAGAGAAGAGCATATCAGTATAAGGCTCATAACGTAAAGGAGTAAAAAGAAAGGGATTCGCAAAAGTAGTTTTCGCGAATTTTTACTTAGGTAGGTCAGAAAAAAAATGTAGCTCAAGAATTAGCTTTAAAGCATGCGTCCCCGTGGAAGTAACGACCAAAAGCTGGGACGAGAGGGACAAAAAGCGTTGAGGGAATGGGGGGGGGGGAAGAGAAAGGGAAGCTTAAAAGATTAAGAAGAAAAGATGCCAATAAGTTACTTATTTGTAATTTTGTAATTTAGTTTTTGTAGTTTGTTTACCCACGGAGCACTTAGGAGTTCCTGTGCACCCGTTTAGACGTGTCCGTGCGTTCCAGATATCCTGTAGAATTGGAATTTGGAAGTGTCGGTTTTTAAGGAGAGGGAAAGCCGTGGTTTCCGGAGAAAAACCTCTCCGAGCACGGGAGAGAACCAACAACAAATGGCATCGACGCCGGGATTCGAAACCAGGCCAGGCTCTCACCACTGCGCCACGATTGCTCCCCACCCTTGCTTCTAATTAATATGACAGGACAGACATAAAAAAAGTGACTAGTTAGAAGGCAAGTCCAATGTTATCTGCCTGGAATGCGGACACTTTCTCAGAGAGGCATGGTTGTTCAATTGGGCCAGTTTGAACAAATGAGCAGCATTGGAGAAAGGCGGTAATTACATAAAAGAAGATCAAGACTATCACGTTGGTCTTACTGTTAGTCAAGGATAGAAGAAGTGAATGAAGCCTCAGATTCAGTATCTCCTGAACATAAAGCTGACAAAGATTCACAATAGTCATCATCTACAGCCAAGTACCAGTCAACATCCCAGTCTTAAGCGAGAAACGAGAAATATACATAAATGAAAACAGTTGCCAGTAAGAATGATAAAAAAAGGATTTACTATGATGACAATTCTTTAGCTGACGCACTTCCAGAGAAAAAGGAACATTCACATTGAAGGTATGGGAAGATATGAAGTCGAGAAGAAGGGATGAACCTAACCTGGTACATCGAATATGACTGACGGACCTACCCCTCCCTAACAAACTTATCACCCCTCTCCACTCCGTTATTGCTTACCCTCTTTATAGGTCTCCTGAAATCATGTTAGTTTCATCAACACTGAACTCTATGTTGAAGCATTACACCATTCTTAAACTATACCTCCCAATGATTACCCTATTGTGAGCTTACTAAGCCTCCCTAACCTTGGTATTAGGCAGATTTAGCAAAGAAAACGCGACGGCAGTGACGACTGCCCACGCAATCAAACAACTGGCTTGACCAATGGCAGAGCGGCAAATTGGGCACCGGAAGTCGCGTTCAGTCCTTTCTATGCGCTTTCCTGTCGTCAACTGAGGTTCCCGTTCTGTTGCTAAATCAGCCTATTATCCCCTTCCTTGTTACACCAGGTCAGAGTGACTCTTTGTAGGTCTACTGAGCTGGTAGGTTCCATCACCGCACCTGACATACCCTTCTTAACAGCGTTTCAGATTGTTTGTAAGCAAGCTCTCTCTCTCTTTCTGCTACTGCTGCTGTTAAGCACGGTTCGCGACTACCGAGGGACACAAGTGAGCATAAGAAAACTCGTTTTGTGCGATACTCGTCAACCGGAAGAGGAATGTACTCATTCTCACTTCCGGTTGAACTCACCCTCCCTTGAACTCGACAGTGCTTACCCTCTTTGTAGGCCTGCCGAGGCGGTAGATTTGCCACAACTGAGTAAAGAACGGAGGGGTCTTCAGAGCCGGTCAATTCTTCATCATCACGGTTCAAAGCTGAAAGGGAAGTAAACCATTCCTCAACACAACGGCATTATGATAAACACGAACATCTCAGTCCAGTAGAGTAAAAACCCGCGACTAAGAACCTGGTTTTAAGAACCTTTTAGGCTAAAATTTGTCAGTTAGGCCCCCTCTATGTAAGAACCTGTTCAGCCTAAAATTTAAAACGGGTTCTTATTTCTTAAAAATAAAAATACACAATTTTTTGTACACTTGGGCAAATAGGAAAAGTCAACATTCGGTATCCCCTTAGGAGACAAAGGTGCCTTTTCACCCCATCTGGAATGTATTGGTATGCAGATTTAATGTAAAGAATAAGCTGAGTACAACTAAATACTCTTAGCTACATTTTTTTTTTCGTTAGAAAATGACAACCTATTTAAGAACCTAAACAGCCTAAATTGGTCCTCATTACCATTTATGTGACAGCCTGTTTAGGCTAACTTGGGAAAATGCAGGTTCTAAGTCTAGGGTAATACTCTATGTAAGAATGGCTATATTTTTTGAGAAGCTTTTATCAAAGCCAGACGATGTAACACTTTTGGCAGAAAGTACTCGTTCCTGATAAAATCCTTGTTTTATTTCACCTCACCTTGCTGGCTTAATTTCAATATGTAAGCCTCCAAAGCCTTCAGTTCCTCGTTCTGTGCGTCGGCAGAGAAGGCAGCGGCTTCCTTCTCAAGCTTGCCCAGTCCCCCTTTCCCTCCACCTACTTTCGGTTTTTTGGTCGGCCCAGGCTTTTTCTTCGTAGTTTTTGTCGGCGGTGGTCCGCCAAGAGTGGCCGTTGCCATGGCAGCAGCTGCTTGCATGGTTGTCATGGAACCCGCACTGTCAGGTGCAGTTTCCAGGTTAAGCATTTTCTTTCCCAGCTCGATGATAGCTCCTGCAACTCCCCGCTCATTCCACATCTGCAAAATCTAAGTTCAAGCACAACAGTGTTACGTAATGAGAACTACGAGTACATGGCAAATAGTAGTTCACACTGAAACGTTTCACAAACGTCAAAGGGAAGATTGCATTACCTTAGCTATGTAGTACGTGACAGTTGCAATCATGTGTGACAAACTATCCGACGTGGAAGACGACTTTCTGTGACGCGTTAGTGAAGGTACTTCTTGGAGAACAGCGTGGCATCGCAACAAAACCTGCACAACTGGTTTGGCAGGAATTTTCTGATGAATTAAAGGTGCTAATAAGCCATAACACTGCACAACTGCCTGCAAACACAGCGCATTGTCATTTAGCCAGCCAGCAACTTGTATGGCAAGCAGAAGCCGTTGGCATTCCTCAAGACGCGCAACCTATAAAATAGAAGGAGAGGGAACGTGAGTTTACGCCTTTCTATACCCGTTGATTGGCCCATCGTGCCCGGCTAATCTGTGTTGGCCAGTGTTGATAGCAGTTAATATAGTTGGTAGTAGTTAGAAATTGTTGAGCAGTGCTAATGGTAAGTATGGGCGGTGTTAGGCAGGGTTGGTGGTGGTGTTAAAGTATAGTATTGGTGTAGTTTTGGGAAGTATTTGGTAGTGTTGTCTGATGTTGGGCAGTGTTGCTGGTACTATTCGATGTGGATTCTTGGAATATAAAATCTCCATGGATACTACTACAGTTCCCGTGCGCGAAGCCAGTTCTCTTAAAAATCCGTCCACATGCTGTTCAGACTTAATTATAACTAACCTGTCCATTGTAAAGTGGCCCGTTAGCACACAGAGTGTCACAGAACAAGTGTCCTTCGCGAATCCTGATGTCCACAGAGATGAAAATGCTCTGAAGAAACAATCTCGCCAGAACGGGAGAAGCTTCACCGAGACTTCCCTCATCAATTCTAACAAAACCAAAAAGAAACCCAGTTAAATTACGCAATACACTGAAATTTCTTATGTTTTTAGGTATAATAAATCCATCCTTGATGTCGGGGAAACACCAGAAAGGTTTGTAAACAACAAATAGATAGCGATTTAGGTGAAGAAATGGGTACTTGAGCAGTAGATAAGCTAATCCCATGAAGTAGTAGTAGACATAGAGGGGAATATAGATTGTTTTTGCATTTAAAGGTTACAATAAAGGTCTGTAAAATTTACTTTACCGCGACAGGATTAGCTCAGTCGCTAGAGCGCTTGACTGCGGCTCGATTCCAGGGGCCAGACCAATACTCAGGGTCTTAAAATAACTTAGTAATATGATGAAAGTACTTCTTTTGCCTTGCAAACGACTAGACCCTCGCGTGGCTTCGGATGACCACGTAAATGGTGGGGTTAATACATTGACACTCAAATAAAGTGCATTTTTCGCAGTTTTTGCGTGTGATTGCTTGTGTGATGTCGGTTACGTTTTACGCGCGTGTTTCGCGTTTGTTTTTCCCGTGAAGAATTGCTTGCAATATGGTGGATCGATACGCAACAAACAAGCATGGTATGGTTTAACACACGGCCCGTACAGTCACTCGGCAGTAACATTTATTAAGAATGCTATGCATACAAATACTGATTGAAGAATTACTGAGATTCTTACAATAGACCAATTCATAGCAGTGTTTAAGATGATAAAGGAAATGATTATTTTAGTTGAGGAAAATTAGTTTTACGTAAAAAGGGAACAATCACTTAAGACTGAAGACATTCAACGCACCTTTGTAGAGAGATGCACAGATCTGAACTGGCCGACTGAATATTCGTGTTCTCTTGACATAACTCAGGTTCCCTCACAAAATGGTTCCACAACACTGAGGCAGCAGATTTTGCAACAGGTAACACCCCAGACGAAAACGACAACTTAGAATAAACAGAAATTTATGTTAAAAGGAATTTCAGAGTTTTTTATATCCTACCAAAATAAACTTCTTAAGACACACAGAAGACGTAGAAACAAAGTATAGTGGGCACTCTTCTAACTATGCTATGTTTCTCTTAACCTTAACAACGGAAACTAATTACCTTATTCTCCTTAATTTTCGCGGGTTCTTAAATTCGCGATTTTCGCGATTTTAAAAAATTCGCGAACTTAAAGATCCGCGAAAAATAACGACCGCGAACTTTGATCTGGCGAAATTTAATGGACATAGAAAAATCATGTATTTGTGTTTTCAAGGGTCCTAAACAATTTTGAACACAAGGTGTTATTACAAGGAGCTATCATCTTTCAACTTTAGATGTTAATCAGTGTCAAGATTCGCCTCAAGTTCTTCTTCGGCATCTGAGTAATCATCTTCTCACAGTTCCTCCAATACATCCTTTGTACAGTCGTCAAATTGACCATCCTGTCCCGGCTCCTTGTAGTGAGTAGTTACGAGTGTCTTATCTTTCCATTATTGCCCTGTTCCTTGCTGTATCGTCCATTTCACATATCACCTCAACAGGGACAGCATATTGTTTTGTTTCAATTGTTGATTAACGTAAAATTTTTGTAAAAAAGAAAAAATAAAGTCACTTAATCGTCAATTTCTCGAAATGAAATTCCCTGCAAGCACAATTTTTCTCCGCGATCGCGAAATTAAAGACTCGCGAAATGTGCCGAGAAAATTTTCGCGAAATTTAAGTCCCGCGAAAATAAAGGAGAATAAGGTAGCAGTTATTGGATACGGCTGAGTATGTTCTGAAGAATTATGGAGATCGAGGAGGGGGTTATTCTTATCCGCTCGATCTCCATAATTCTTCCGATCATACGAAGGCAGGATCCAATAATCGTTTTAGTATTCATTAGTTTAAAAACAAGCTAAAAAACGCTTCCTTCGAACGATGTTAAGTTCTCGTCGTCATTTGCCTGTTTCTCGGCAAGTTCAGGATATAAAATGATCTTCCGTAGATAGATATTCCTCAAATTTTTGTAGGAAATCGTTCAGTTATTTCTTCTACGCGAAACGTGTGTAATGATCCGCCATTTTTTCTTGCTTAACCAAAACCACGCAACCTCTTCCTCTGGGCTTCTTGGTTGTCGTCCATTATTCTTAGATTCATGCAGTACTATTGACGTAATTTTCCAAATATCGCAAACGTCTCCTAAATTTGTTCAATGCTGGCTTGTTATGAAGAATCAGCCACGACATTTGAGACAATCAGAAACGGAGAAATATCTTGAATGAATAATAATTAGCAATTATTGGATGGATAGGGCTGAGTATAAATCCGAAGAGTTACGGAGATCGAGCAAGATGTTATCTGCTCGATCTCCGTAAGTGAAAAATAATAATGATTAGCAATTATTGAATGAGGCTGTGTAGGATGTGAAGATTATTATGCAGATCGGGGAGCATGTTATGCACCGAGGCCGAGGTGGATAGCACTCTTCGAGATCTGCATAATTCATCACACCTTAATCAGACAAGAGCCGAATTCAATAATTGTTTTATTATTCATTGAAAATATTTCAAAGTTCTTGACAAGCTGACCTTCTCAGAAACCTTATTTAAATCTTTGCCTACTACTCGGCACGGTTTCAGGATATAAACAGATTTTTTCCTTGCAGATGCTCTTCAAAAAGTAGATAACGTCCTTCAAGCGATGTGTTCTGAGTATTCTTGCATTTCTTCCGTTCAGTTAGTTGGAAATTCGGCTATTACGTATTCGGATAGCGATTCGTAAACGCTATTTACTTTTTTAATTCAATCAGGAATAAACAGCTAAATCGTAATTTACACCATCGAATCGATGGTATGTTGCTCACATCTTCCAACTGATATGGTAAGCGCCAGTTGGTTATTAGATTCCTCAAAACCTAAAAACTTCATCCAATAATTGTTTATTATCACATACCTGAGCCAAATAGCCCCATGCCATGAGGGTAGGTAGTGGATGTGCTGCTAGTACCGGGCGGCATGTCAGACCAATACTCCCACCAATCAGTTTGCCTTGTTCATTGTATGCCGCCATGGCTGCCATGTACTTCTCATCAGGTTTGAGCCCGCGCACATAAAACAGTGTGTCAGCAGCCGCTGGAATCTGGGAAAGGAAAGAACCGAAAACTATGCCCATGATCTTGCTACTCTATTTAAAAAATTTGATGGTCAAAACCATTACATATTCACGGTAAGTTATTTTGCTCAAAAATGACTGAATAGAGGCCAATAATCTTGATACATTAACACTGTCATTTGTATCTACTGCGCATTTTCTTCAGGAAATTAAACAAAAGTTTAAACATCAAAAAATATGATGCCGCCACAGGAAGTCAAAGTACAGAATGTTCACGTGATACCTCTTCTCCAGTCCCCGGAAGTTGATAGTCATTGAGCCTGACTTTCACATTATTACCGCTGGCTGATCTCGCAAAAAGTCGATACCAGGCCACCTAAAAATAAAATAATATGGAAATGGCATTTCAGACATCAATTAGGTAAAAAAACTGTGGCATGAACATTACGACATGTGTAGTTCCATGCTGTCACTTAAGTTCTTCGTATATTCTAAGTAGCATAGTGCACACAGCGAACATAGAGATCAGAGAATGAGTCAAGCGGTCGCTGAAAGAGATTAAAAACAAGCGAAAATCTTTAACCGTCAAGCCCAAAAAGTGGTCGCGGACGCTTACAGGAGGTGGTCGCTTATAACTAGAGGTTCCAACTGTAAGGCTTTGACTGGGAAGATTTTGGTGTTGTGGATTGGCGGTTGCTTGTGGGAGGTGGTTGCTTAGGAGGAGGTGGTCTCACATGGAGGTTCCACTATATTCACAAATTCCAATTTGACCTGAAAAGTGTCTTCTGTTACTCGGGGACGCTTGGAGGCCCACAGATTTACCAGTGTTCTTGAAACAGTCCAGTGTGACCCTCTTGAAATAAAGTTTGTTTTTTTTTTTTAATTATTTCAGTAAGGAAAACTCATATCCGAACTCGATCAAGTGAGGTAATTGTGCGCGCCTCTGATCTACAGCTAAAAAAACAAACCTTTTCTCCACTTTTAGGTTTGAACGTAGCAGCCTTAAACACCAGCACAGATGAGCTACGATAAACAAGAAGAGGAGCAGGGGGAACATCAGAAGGTGGTACATCATCGCCGGTGTCCGCCTGTCTATTCCAGCTTGATACTTTCCGTTCCTGCTGTTGACTCTTGATGATTAGCTCTTGGCTCTCCTATCATGACAGTAAGGAAGAGTAAAGTAAATTGCCGCTTATAATCCCAGGCCTTATAAATCTTCGTAGGGGGTTTTGGGAGCGCTTAGAACCGAAGGGGTTTATATCCGACAGACTTATAACCGAGGGGGCTTATATCCGAGGGGCTTATAACCGAAGTGGCTTATATCCGTGGGGGCCTATAACCGAGGGGGCTTATACCCGAGGGGGCTTATATCCGAGGGACTTATAACCAAGGTAGCTTATATTCGAGGGGGCTTATATCCGAGGGGACATATAACCGAGGGGGCTTATATTTATTTTTTTTATTTTATTTTATTATTTTGCCACACACAATGAATTACAAGCAGAATAAAAACGATAATAAATAGGTTAACTAACATTAAATTTAAAATTTGTGCATTACTTGGGAGGAGTGACTGCGGCGGGGAAATCTCCGAGAAGCCGAGCTTATGAGGAATAGAGATTTCCCCCCACGGGCAATTTAAATACTAGGCGGCATTTTAAGAAATAAAGAAAAAAGTCGTTTATTTAAGTATATAAGTGTGTTAAGAGGAAAATATAGATATGAGGTGTTAAGGTATTTAGGTTGCATTCTGTCTGACCCTTAAAAATGGTTTGATCACACGCTTGAATATACTAAAAGACGGGGCATTTTTGATGTCGTTTGGTAATGAATTCCATATTCTAGGACCTTGAAACAGGATCGAAAATTTTTTAATATTTGTTCTACAGGTGTGAGGTCGGTAAAAGTCAGAGTATCTTGTTGAATATTGATAATATATCCGAGGGACTTATAACCGAGGTGGCTTATATCCGAGGGGGCTTATAATGAGGGGCTTATAACCGAGGAGGCTTATAACTGGAAAGTAAAAAAGCGCTCCACAACAAGATATATCAGTGCTAATCAAATACGTTTTGCATTTACTGGTTCAATAAATAAATCGAATTCATTTCAATACATAAAAATAAAAGTTAGAGGGGAGCTTACATCGGGGGGGGGAGGGGCTTATAATCAGATATATTTTTTGTTAACGGGTAGACAGGCCTATATCTGGGGGTATAAGCGGCCGTTTTCGCTACGTGAGCAAGAATGTGTGACAAAAAAGTCAGGATATGTCTAGAATCCGTATTGTGTGATTACAGCATAGTGTTGAAAAACATTTGTGGGCAACTCAAAATGAGCAGCATTGTTTGACATGACATGGCATCGTGGTCCCCTCAAAGCCATTTTTAATTTGGGTCATAATTCGACATAATCCAGCTTTTAAAATGAACAAGTAACTCTTGCGTGACGACATACCTGAAGCAGCTGTCCTTGATGTTCCGTTCCTACGTGACTCCGTGACGTGACAGCCTGTCTGGCCATATGCATAAGCAGCAGAGCTTTTGATAGTGGGTTTCTGTTACACTGGGCCAACAGGGTGTTCTTTGCTTCACTTAGCTGTAATGAACTGTCACTAGGCTGTATCTTTTCCTACAAAGTAAGAAGGTATGTAGCAAATAGAAGCGTAGGGATTGTATTCTCTGTGACTGTTACACGACGGGAACACCAGATGTAAGAAGAATATAGCCAATTCGAAGCGCTATTAATCATGAGATTAGTGTGATTTACAGTCTATAGGTTGGAGTATCGTCATAGGATACAGTCAAATCTCTCTTAACGGACACCTCTAAATCGGACGTATAGAGTTGGTCATTTCTTTTCTCTACTACTTTAAGTCGACTCTCGAAGAGATGAACGTCTCTCTGAGAGAGACACATGGTGCCAGGCCCAAAAGTGTCGATCTGAGAGAGAACTGGCTGTATACCCTCGAAGGATGATTATATTGTGGTTAAATTTTATCCTTGGTTTAAATTTCAATTCCCTTTGTTTTTGGGCATGGTAATGTATTATAATGAGTATAAAACAAAGGAAAATAGAATTTAAACCAAGGATAAAATTAAACCAAAACAGCTACCTGAAAGGAAACATATGAAACTTAACAATTAGTTCATGCGTTAGCGTGCGTATGTCGAGATATTGAGCACGCAGGAAGTTTGGAGAGCACGAAAGAGGAGTAAGAGTTGCTCGGGACGCAGCCGAGAGCATAGCAGCTACACAGCTCGCGCAGATGACAATAAGAACACTCACCTCTTTTCCCTACTATCGGTTAACAAATTCAAACGTTTTCTCTTAACTTTACGTTATAAAACAAATGCCATGGATTGGTTAATCCTTCATCGTGTACTATTGAGTCATGGATGCATTTGGGAGACGTCTTCATGGTCTTGGAAGGATTGCTAAGTTCACAGGAACTCGAGGTATAGTTTATTGACGTCAAAAGCGTGCTCAATGGGAATATGAAGCACGCTCGCGCGATAGAATTTGATTAGGCGAATATTCTAGATATGTTATAATCACATTTGAACCGCGGGATAAAAGATTTTGATAGAGGAAAGGGCATGGCAGTTGTGATCTATGAAGCCCATAACAAATTACGCTTGAACAGGATTGAACCCATGACCCTACGATTCGGATACAACGCCCTGACCCCTAAGTTATCACGCCCCCAGGGAGCTGGGTATCCCCTAGGTCTCCGCGGATAAGTCATAAATGGAATTGAATTAAAGTCTTTATGCCGCATTTCAGATAGCGTTCTCTTTCATGTAGTTACCTTTCCAAGTATATTAAGAATCCAACTATGACCGGCTCGTAGTCATTGTTTTATAGCTCAGTTGGCTACAGCACCTCACCGATATCGCAAAGTAATCGGTTCGAATCCCTCTCAATCGCAAAATTATAAAACTTCTAACATTTGGTAACTTGTTTCTGCCACTACGACATTCTCGCTAAAAACTCGACGAGATCCTTGTTCGGAACCCTCAACGGACTCAACAAATTTCATACTGATTGGCAAATCGACAATGGCTTTTTGAACAGGCCAATCATGGCGCGTACTCAAATCCGGGTACACATGCGGAGGCCCAGAACAAGGATTTCGGCGCTGTTTCGCAGAAGGACTAGACGAGAGTTTAGTTCCGTCTGTGGCGCAGGCTAAAGGCGACGGCTATCACGTTAAATCCGGTCAAAGTGACGCTGAATCACGCGCAGGCACTGCTTAGTATTGAGGAAATCTAGTACTCGTAGTCGTACTCGTCTTAGAATCTAAAGGTCTCTAAGATTTTGTTGTCCTCCTATAATATGCCTTTTTTGTCAGTTACCTTCTGTTTCTTAGCTGACTTCTTTTGTTCCACAGTCTCCTTTCCAAGATTGGACAATTTAACCGCAATCCTGTAGCGAACGAAGAGCAACTCCATATGCAAAGCTTCTATCATCCTCTCCAACAGGGTGGAACCTTGTATCTCTGCGGCTTTAACGGTTTCGTCTTGGTCTTTGTTTATACTTGGTGATGGCTGTCGGAGGGAGGCAATTAAATTACACTGTCAATAATAAAAAACAACAACGGCAAGAACTTACGAGTAATAAACCGAATTCGCCTCTTTCGAAAATTAATTGCAGCTTTCCTAGCTCGCTCAATTTGTTAAATTTAGGCGAATGTTCCTGGGCCCAGTTGTTGGAAGGTTGATTAGTGCTAGTTAACATGGGATTGAAATTTAATCCAAGTTTCTTTTTAGAGCATCACGAAATTGTAGACTGACTAGACAACAAGAATGAAACTGAATTTATTTTGTTTTTTAAGCTTTCAATTTCTGTATTCAAATTACCCACTAACCCTGGGTTAACTTATCAGCCCGGTCCGGAAGTTTGATTCTTAAAAACTGCGTTTAAGTTGAGAAAGAGGAAGAAAAAAAGAGTCGCATTGTGGAACGTCAATTTCTGTGCAGAGGATGGCAGAGAAACACTCCAAAGAGCGATGGCATTACAGGAATGATCTTCTACTTCTATTCAACCTGTTACTTTTTACTTTGCTTAGTTTCCTATTGATGTCGTAAATGCTGGTTAGGTTGTTGCCATTCTCCCACATCTTCACCGGGGTGGCTTTTGAAGAGTTGACAAATTGTACATATAGTGTGTAAGGCCCTGTTCGCACCTGTACGAAGAACAAAATTTGGAGTTTACAAAAAATTTGAAACCTTTGTAATCTCCTATTTCCTTGATCGCCTCTGAGACTCGCGAAATTTTTCGTACAATCAGAAACGTCAATTAAAGTAACTTTTTAATGGTCATGTTCGCGAGTTAGATGAGCCGACGAAGGATAGCTGTCAAAGAACAAAGGATTTTGTCGTCTGGCAATATATTGTCGGCCTCCAAATTTTCTCGACGACATCTTTAAAGTTTGGTGACGCTAGAAATTGTAGCACTAGAAATTGCTTCACGTTGATAGATATTTTCGCAAAACAAACAGAATTTTGCGTTATGCGAACAGAACCAAAGCTGGCCTCAATTGACCTCCAGTGCGTGCAAATTTATGCCCTACTGCAAACTGTTCACCTTTATCCAGCTGACATCGGCGATGTTCCGTTTCTTGGTGTCAATCACTGTATCACGTGCCTTAGCAACATCTCTGAGACCCTGATCAAGAACGTCCAATGCTTTGTTCAAGATGTCCCTTACTCCTGTCCCCATCCCTCCCAGGGTAATGACCATCTGTTTGCTGTAATCAGTAAATAAGCCCCTCAGGGGGGTTGGACCAGTTGCAGGTTTTTCATAAACCTCGGTTTCACTTTTTTCCTAGAAAAACAATTAAACTTTAAGTCAAGCATGATTTCGTATTCTGGGTACGTGAAAGTAGGTCCACACTGTAACCTGTCACGTCAAATGTTAGTGTGCATTATATACGTATATTTTTTTTTTGTTGGCCTTCAGCTTCTGCGTCAGAGGCTACAACAAAAACAGTGTGTAACCAGCATTACTTCTTGTTGTGCCTTGCATTTAATTTTGTACAACAAGGTGCTTCGATTTATTAGGTCTGCCGATAAAATCCTAAAGTGTGGCCATTCAATAAGACTACTGCGCAGTACCTCCCTGTGTTATTGTTTATTATGCTCTACAAGGTGGTTCTAATTTTTGCGTCTCGTAGATGAAATCCTAAAGTGTGACCATTTACATGAAAGCTACTGAGCTACTTTGTACATCTTATAATTATTATTATTATAATTATTATAATTTATTAATGATGGTCACCCAACTAGTTTAGCTTTATAGTTATTTTGGGTGTCTAACTAACTAAAGTATGCATTGTTATTAATAATTATATCTCTTGTCCTTGAGTCCGCCGACGACCAAAAAATGAAAGCTCCTAAACAGGACTTTTCTGCGGTACTGTTTATTATTGAGGGGATCATATGTATTGGCTGCAAGATGACTTCGATTTAATAGCTATTTTTCTGTTGGAATGCAGGGTGCAAAGAAAGTCATTTTTACAGCTTGCCATTCGGGCAAGCTGAAGCTAACATTTACTAGCCCAAACATCATTTCAACTAGCCCCAAAAACATTTTGATGAGCAGATTGATTTCACAGTTCTTCTGTAATTTGAATTCCTCCAAAAAACTTCACTTGCCTGTCGGGCAATAACAGAATTCACTCGCCCGATAGCAAAATCCACTAGCCTCGGGCTCTCGGACACTACTTTCTTTGCAAGCCGGAAAGGTTACTCTCCAGCATAATTAACTTGGGTATGGATTTATTAACTTCTGCTTGCTCTAAAGACAATAAGATTATAACCTGCTTGGAGTCCAAATGTTCTGGAGAGGCCGTGAAGGCTGGTGTTTCTAATTCTGCACTTCCGACTCTGGACGGATCAGTGTAACCAGCTTTGCACTCCAACAATAAGGACAGCTTTAATGTGACTTCAGCGCTTAGTATGGGGTCAAAACTTGCAGCATTGCTCCATGATACTGTGCTGTGAGCCACTGTCAGAATATAGAGCCACTGAAATGAGATCATTTCAACTGATGTTAGGTGGGGTAGAAATTCAACCGCTTTTGGGAGTTTAGAAAAGCAGTCACGGATATTGGAATGACTTAATAGTTCAATTCACCACCAACATCATTATCATCATCTTGGTCGTCGTTTTTTAATCATCATTATCTTTGTCATTATCACCAACCACATCACGCTCAACAACATCGTCATCAACTTCATCACCGTTAGCAGCAGCAGCACTAGCATCGTCATCATCATCAACATCCTCATCCTCATCCTCATCGACAACAACATCAACATCATCGTCATCAACGTCGTTTTCATCGTCATCAGCAGCAGCATCATCTGCAGCAGTATAAGCAGCATCATCATGATCATCAGCATCAACATTGTCGTCATTATCATCGTCAACATCATCATCAGCAGCAGTAGCAGCATCGTCATCGCAATCATCACTCAACATAGTAATTGTCCTCCTCCTCTTCGAAATAATTTTTCATCATCATTTTCACCATAAGTGACATAATGATAATTCGATCGTACCATCTGATGGCAACGACACCGTGAGAAACCACCAGGCCCTTACAGTTGTTCAAAAGGTGGATAACACTATCCACTGGATACATCTCTATCCAGAGGATACCACAATTGTTTCCCTATCACTTATCCACTGTATTGTGATTTAGAGCAATTTTACTTGACCCGTGCAACAGATAATAAAAACTACTACTAATGCAAATTAGCTCCAAATAAACAAAAGAAGACAAATGAATCAGTGTATAATAGTGCGTAGTATTCTACTACCATTTCACGGGTTAAGTAAAATCACTCTATCCGGTGAAAAGCGCTATCCAGCTTTTCAACAACTTGGGCCTGGCTTAAAGAAACCCTGAGTAAAAAATAAAATGCATTTATAAGAAAAAAAAGAGTATTTGGGGCTTGGTAAGATTTCAAACTAATTTCAATAAAATGCCGAAAAAACTCTTTCTTAAGGCCGGAAAAAGCTCTATGAAACGGTGCGTGATACTGGACTTAAAGGACCACATAAAGCTTGATGAAATAAGTAAGATAAAATCAATAGCAACAAGTTGTACAACAGAATTTTCTGAGACTTTAAAGAGCGTTATTTTGGGACAATAATAAAACGGTACAGCCAGCTTACTCTGTTGGCGAACACATCGTTTAACAACTGTTTGCAGTTTTCCAACGACGAGGAGAAGATTCGTTGAAAATGAGGCTTGCATTTGGACCACAGAAAAAGAGCAGCGTCCACCATCATATCACAGTCTTTCATCAGAATGACGGACTGTTGAGAGAAATGTAAAGCTGTTAGATTGGACGTGTAGTACTTACAACTGAGACGTAACGCTGCCTAATCTCACACAATACGCCCTTACCAGAAACATAGACATAGTACTAAAAAATGAAGCAAAACTACCCAAATGTAGATACATTAGACAGCTTTAGATTCTAAGACGAGGACGACTACGATAACGGGATTTTCTCGATACTAACTAGTGCACGCGCGCAAACAAACGTCATTTTGGTGGGAAAATGTGGCAGCCGTCGACAGTCTACTACAAGACTAGACAGAAAGGCCCCACCTAAAAGCACCGTCAAATATTACTTAGCTTATAATATTAACGCCTAAATAATAACTTAAGATGTAACCAGCACTAGCTTGAGACACAACACAATACTCCTATGTCGCAAGAAATTGTTGCAAAGGTCCTAAAAGAAATAATCACCATGATCAGCAATGAGTGTTACCTTGAAAGGTTCCTCAGAGCAAGACTGTATTACATCTGTTAGATGAGTGAGCTCCTCCAGCGAACTTCCACCCTTAGCTATAAAGAGAAAACAGGACAATTTCAGAGGAAAACTCTCGTGGAATGATTTAAACTTCGCCAAAAGGTCTGCGGAAAGTCCATACTTCCCCTTAGCAGTTGTTATTCAGATTTTGTATGGTTACGAATATTACGGACTTACGTGGTTCCTGTTACTCTTACGGGCAGAAGTAAAGGTAGTCTCCCATTCAGTCGTTTTCGTCTCGACACAAAACACTCCTCGCCAAGAAACGTTGTGTGACGAGGCAAAAAAGGGCAGAATGGGAGACTAACGTAAAGGCGGATAGACGGCACCATGACTATTCCTCTTTCTTCTCAGAAGTTCTCTTAGCTCGTCGCGTGACCAGTCAAAACAAAACGTCTCCGCAGAAAGGCCAAAGTTAGAAAAGTCATTGGGTCACACTTTTACCCCCTCTTCTCCGGGGGCCTCCCTTACTGGGTTTTAACGAGTATGTGCCGTTGAAAAGGGTATGGTTTACGTGGTCGTGAATCCTAACCAGGGTCTACAAATTCACTATTTAGCGTCTTCGACAGGGTGCGGCCAGGGTTTGAGGCCTCGGAGACACACCTCTGCCCAAACTTCCCTATAATGCCCACCCCCCGGTTCAAAACAAACAGATATCACCCTGAAAAATTATTCAGTCGACTGGGAAAATATCAGCCATACTTTATTCAAATATAGTGAACACAACACATCCCCACCTTGTGTATGCCCAACCGCATCACCATCATCTGAATGAGTACTTTTCTTGGGTTTTTTGACAGTGTTGTAGAATGGCTCTAGCGCCAACATGATCTGAAGGGTTTTAATATCCACTAAACTGCTGACATCACTTTGTTCTTGCAGTAGTTGCAGGGTTGGCTCGATCAGAAGACCAAATGGCTCCCACTGTTCATAGCTGAATGCTTGCTTAACAAATTTTACAAGAGCAGGAAGCGGTACACCATTCTCGCCTTCAAAGAAATGTTTACGAAGGATAACAATGTCATTCATCCACAAGTTATTATTCTGATAATCATAACTAGAATTTGTGATGATAAGCTAGGGTAAATACAATTGAATTAATTATCATACATTTGTCGTGGTTTTTAAATAATTATACACAATCAGCAGTGGCGGATCCAGACCTTCAGATAAGGCGGGGGGGGGGGGGCGGTCATCCAGACCCTAAGATAAGGGGGGGGAGTCTCAAAAAAAATTGTTTCGGCCCTTTGGGCCACAGTTGGGTCTAAAAATACGGGGGGGAACAGGGCCCCCTGGGCTCCTCCCCTGGATCTGCCACTGATCAGGGTTAATGTAATTCACCTCTATAAAAAGGGTCTCTAACTAGTTACGTGTACTAACTGCACCTTACAGTTTATCTCCCTTTTTTGGTCCTTTACTGGCAAGGTCATTAGTAAACCCTCTCACATGGTACTACAGTCAAACCCTGTCGATACAGACACTGAGGGGGCCATAGAAGGTGTTCTTTTTAACGGAGTGTCCGTAATAAGCGGTTCTTGTTATTTAAGTCAAAAATTCACCTCTTACTTACACAAAATACTAAGGAAATAAAATGTGACATAAGCGTCGTCAAATATTCATTCAAAATATTTTTACGTTTCTGATTGGCTAAAACCACACGCATAATTCACCATAACCAGCTACTGTTGACCAAATGTGGAAGAATTTTGCGATTAATCAACTGATGACGTCAAAAGTGCAGCATAGTTGCAGGTTAATGCACCGTTAACCGAGAACACCTGGGGCGACGTTGAGTAGTTTTGGTTGTGAAAAGAAAAATAGCCGAACAGTCGGCGCAACATCTTACTCGTTTCACGACGAACTATTGTCTAAAAACATAGCAAGAAGACAACTTGACGGATAACATCTGCTGTTTGGAATATACAATGTATTTGCAGACCTGAACAGCCCTTTATCTTCTTAACATCCACTATCGAGGTGAACGTAACATCGACGAGGGTAAGCATGTTTTAGGCAGTTTTTAAACTAGGAATTATTTTGAATGAATAATAAAGCAATTAATAAATTCGGCTTTCGTAGTATATAATGTCATAACAATTATTCACCGAAGTGGAGGTGGCTAGTATTGGTAATTTACCGAGGCCGCGAAGCGGCGAGGTAAATATCCAATACTAGCCACCGACACTGAGGTGAATAATTTTTTTAGTATATACTATAACAGTGAGATAATTGAGCACAAAATGATGATTTTTAACTCATTTACTGTTGCCAACGATTACAATTTTGGCGCGCGATGACCGAACGGCCGCGGTCGTCGCTATTTCTTAGCGACAAATAAAACTTTTGAAGGCGTTTGTTTAGCTCTTGCGGGGAAGTTTCTTCAAAAGGAGTTGTGAATTCTGTTTGTATTTGAAATAATTCTGTAAAAAAGATTATTAAATTTAGTTTTAAGCTTATTTATGAACAAGTCAACTAAATAAAGTAACGCAAGACTTAAGCTTAATTTGCATTTGTAAACAAAAAACTTTTTTACCGGTTTTATCGATAACTATTCAAGTCAAAAAGACAAAGCTTTACCTGTTAAAACTTCCAAACCGAACTTCGTCACCTTCTTTATGTATTTCCGGAAATAGCTTGCCAGGAAAGCATTTTGCTCGCAACCTACGCGAGTTTGGCGTCGCTCGCTCGCTCGGAGGAACTGGAGGTGAATCAGTGAATAGTGATTGAGTAGCCAATCAGAGCGCCTGTAAAACACTATCCACTGTTTTAGAACAGCAAGTGGTAACGTTTGCGCATGCGTCAAGTTTGCTGGGAAGGACTTGTTGACGGGAAATCGTAATGGCCGAAAGCTGTTCTGAAGCACTTTCAAGGGAGATTTTTTTGCATATCCGATCAACAACAGACATTTGTTATAGATTGGATACTTTGGCTAAGCCATGTTGAGGTGTTATGTATGGGAGAAGGACCATTTAGCTGGTCAATTTTCGTCCATTTGGCTCCTCTGATGAAGCAGATCAAGCGTTAACGAGGTCGTTTGTTGTGATATGTTGATTTGTTGACATTCAAGCGGTCACGGATTTTTGGGTTATCGTCCGCGATCTGCAGAGCTGCCTAACATTTAGGTAAGATATACCCCTTGATTTACGTTGTGAAATGTGGAGCAGTATCATCGAATGTTATGTGTTAAAATTATAGCAGCCTGAATTCAACGTAATTTATGTGACCCTGGTATTTTTGTAGTATTTGACCCTGACCGTACAACGAGATCCAGTTATATATCCCACACAAGCGACTAAACAGGTTAAACTTCTCTTTCGGTCACTCCGTATTTTCACTTTTAATGGTTAATTCAAAGGGGGGAAGTTCGAGTATTTTGATACTATTTAGCGGCATGAAATCAACAAGCAAATTTCCTACTCTTACAAGTAAGGCCATAGTCGGATGTTTCCTTCCATTTTCGAAAATTTGCTTTTCTGGTTTACATTGGTGCTCTATGGCGATTACTTATTCTCAGAGATTAAGAGATCGAGGCGGTGGATTGTGAAATATTATTTGCTAAACCTTCGTTAAAGATGGACAAATTTTTCGTGTCCTTTTCAACCTTGTTTTTAGATTTTTCGTTAACATGTAAAAGTATATCCCAACAAAACTTATTTGTAAGAGCATTGTTTCGGAACACTCTTTCATTCTTGAATGTTTGATTTTGCATCCAAGGGGGGGAACACTGATGAATTTGCGTTTTAATAATCATGCACTGTAAGCTCTCAGATTCACTGACAAGAACCCTCACCATTTGGGAGATGATTTTATTCTGATAATTATTCAATGATGATTTGTTTTTACATACAAAATTGGCGCCTAAAAGAATTTTAATGTTATGCTTAAAATGTTTACATAATGTCTTGGAACATAACAGAAATCAATATAAAATATGAAAATACACATATGTGCATTCTTTTCCCTGCCCTACTATAAGAGTGATTTCATAAGTGTGATTTAATGCATTTTCATTTGACCATTACAATATTACTCCCACTTTGACATTAGCACAAGTTCAAGCACAAAACAAGTCTTGCCCTTAACCACCTTTGCACTTGCTGGACTGCCATTCCTGTTTGAAGTAGAGACAACACTGGACATGAAATCCCTGTATTTGATTCCTTACATTGGCATCCACATAAGAATTAGCTTCATCACATACCATGTATTTGTTCGCTTACAAAAATCATAAATGTTACTATTCCTTTTCTATCCAAAAGATTTCTTTCCTTCTTGAATATAAATTCTTATCCATGACACTTTAGAAATCCTGAATATCTAAAGGGGTATCGCTAGTTGTGGGCAACAACTAAATGCCACAGGGGTAGCTTTTCACTCTCCGATAGAAATAGATCTTTTGATACTCTGGGTCTCATTCAGAGTTTGTGCTCATGAATTTAGGAGCACTTGGCTTGCCAATGTTGGTTTGACTGCGTATACACTGTAATAGTGTACTGGTATATAGTCATATATCATAGGCTGCACAAGTTGCGATTTATGTAAAATTGCCCCTCAAACAAGCTCATTGATGCTCCTGGTGTCGCAAGATGACAAGTTATGAAAAATTTCATTTGCCTTTTGCCTGTTGCAGGAGCTCCCTATGAGATGCTCAGCACTAAACCTTGTTGATTCAGGTGATAGTCATTGAGGACAACTGCATCATCACATTTAAACCAGTCGCACTTTTCACTCAAGCCATAGCAGAGCTGTTACAAAATGGCGACTATCTGTTTTTTATTTAACCCTATGCTGTCTGCAGAATGTGAAGGGTCTGTCACTCCATCGTGAACTGCATCAAATAGCCTTGGTGCCCCAGAAGACACACAGACAAGCTTTAATTTTAATGAGTCATACATTGGCTACTTGAAGCTACCATAAACTGATACTTTATAAATATCAGGCTTTAAGATCCTTAAGTTCTCCTCATGTTGAAATTGAATGAAAAGGAAAAGTTAGAGCTAATTTTCTCTCAATTTCAATTTTTTAATCTTCAAATCATAAGAACTTGGCCGCAAACAGATATGGGCTAGTCAAGGGAGCTAGGCTTTATTAGTTATATCTTAAATAATTAACACATGTGCAGTAGAAAATACCAACAGCAAAAATGAGTGCAAGCATGGAAAAAACAGAAGCAGAAAATTCACTTCAATATCTAAGAGAGAAAATGCAGTTTTAGATATGGCTATGATCTTTACTATTTTAAGTATTTTCACTTTTGTGTGTATATTTGCAATTTTCTAGTATCTAGAAGTGTGGGGAGTAAAGGGAAGGATTTTTCATGGTTAGGGTTACCTTAATAAAACACATCTGTAATATGAAACATCTTGTACCACACTCCTTTTTTGGCTCATCTAATTCTTTATTTTAGAAGTATAAGGGGCATCTTGGAGTCAAGAGCCTCCATATTACAAAATTGTGCCTACACCCCTGAATAAGTTAAGGCATCACATAGATTTAATAGATGTCATTTCTAGAGTTTGGGTGTTTAGTCTTATATCATCTAGTCAAAAAAGGAAACATACAATTTCATAGCCCTGGGTGGGATATCTTTGAAATTTTATCAGTCGCAGAATTAGGGCACTGCACCTGCCTTGGCCACTGGTGGTTAGGATGGGGTATCTCTGAAAAGTAATCACTGGCAGAATCACTACACTAAGGTTGCACATCTCTGAAAAACAGGGCATTCCTGAACCATAACTGACGTGAAATCGTATTATTGCAAGGAGATTGTCGCAAGAACATTAACTGCAGTTATGACTATATAAACAGACTAGCATTTAGAATTTTTTTTCACAGCGTTTTATTCAAATCGTAAGCGTCGGACGTTTTGTACTCGGTCACAACTCACATGAAGAGATTTTTTTCCCAGTAATCCAGTGTTTAATAGAGCAGTTTTGCAGCTGTTACACAGAACCCGCTTTCGACGTGTCCGTGCGCAAGCCAAAACACGAAACAATAATCATTCATGGACCACAAACCGCGCAAAATTGTGAATGATCTGCGACTTATTAGCCTTGAGACCAATCTCGCATATTACAAAGAAGACTTTGTCTGATCTGCACTCCACAAAGATAGAACAGATGACTAAGACAATGGTAATTTTTAAAAGAGGCGCCATTTTTCTTTGCTGCATTCGCTGCGATCCAATACCACCACAAACTTCCGTCCAGCGGCTCGCGCATACTCGCAACGTTACCACTTGCTGTTCTGTTTTAGTATATACTAAAAAGAAGTATGCAGATCTCGGAGGGTGTTACCCAACTCGGCCGATAACACCCTCCTCGAACCGCATAATTCTTCATATCCCACTCAGCCTCATTCATTAATTGCTGATTAACCATCACAAAGCCGTAATTGTGCGGACTATGTCCATAGAAACACTCAAAATTCGCTCATTTCTACATAACTTAAGCTGCAACCGTTCTCAGAATAATACCTTTTGCCACAAGTTCCATAAGTGCAGTGTTCTGTAGTTCCCAAACAGATGGGTGAATACTTCCTTCATGTTTAACTGCGTGAGATTGCTTTGTTCCGCCGCCTCCAGCTATGATTTCCATCCCTGCAAAAAACAGCTCAGCACACACATCTATTGCAGTGTCCTCAGCATCAGGAGTGGGTGCCTCACAGTGAAGTGTCCGTCTATGTGTCTCACTGACAGCTTCCAGTATTGCCAAGAATTTTGCTGCAGTGCCTTGCAGATCATTAAGGAGACGTTCAGTAGGTGTTCTGGGCCATGCATGCTGGAAAATAAAGGTTAAAATTAATAGACCAATTTCGACGTATTAAATTTCATACTTGGCTGCGAGGCTTGGGAAAATAAAACAAAAGAAATGTATTATTTATTGTTGAGCCTCAAGATAAGCAGCATTTATGTGGTTTTGACCGTGAGTTTTTTTTGTTGTTCCCCCAAGCCGCGCAACCAAGTATGAATTTAACTATATAGAAACTGGTTTATAGAGCTGTCACACAGTCTAGTGGGGAACGGGGAAGGTGGAAGGGGATCCCAAACCACCCACATTTCATACCTTGCATTCCCAGTTCCCATTCCCATGCCTTTTACCATTCTTCCTTTTACCCTGACAGCAACAATAGGTCTAATTAGCAAAAAACAATTTTACAAGTGCAGCACACTTTTTTGTACATTTTTTCGCCGTTGTTTTGCCCGACTACAACGTGAAACTTCCAGTTACACGTTTCATGGAGGAAATGTTGTATGTGCTCCGGTTAACTTTTTTTTCACCGCCGCTCATTTTCACCTTGGTGGCCGCTAGCATTTCTCATTTTCTCACCGCCGCTATAAAATTTTCATGTTTTTCTTCCAACGAAATTGGTCTTCGTTGTTGTTTTTATTGTTTTTTATTATTATTATTATTGGCTTATTTTTCGCTCTAGCTCTTTCTCTGTGTTCCACGTTAATGCAAACATTAACATTTAGTTGAAAGAAAGACTCGGCTTTGTTACTGTTTTTTTCTCTTTTAAAGTCCGGGTGACTATGCAATTTACCGCCGAAATACGCGGGGTGCTTGAAAGGCAAATTTTCACTCCAGCTTACATGCGCGAGGGCTCCGCTATTAAGGCTTACTAACGCAACGTTGTACTGCATCAACACTTTATTTTCACATCCAATTTTTCTTATCTGGTATATCTGTAAGTACCCAACAAATAAAATAGTCAAAATACCATTTCAGCCTTCGAAGTTTTATGGAATGTACATATCTATGCCTGAAACCATTTAATTTCAGCATTCACATGCAAAGAAATGAAAGCGTCTTTTATAGTACATTGGCATAGTGCTAATTGTTATCACAAAGTTTTGATGCTGTGTTTGTTGTTTGGTTGCTTGTTAACAAAGATGTTAATTAAGTAATGAACAGTTTTTAAAGCAAGGAGCCCAAAAGCGTGACCTACTTTAATTAACTCACATTCTTTCATGCAGACATTAACCAATCAGAGGTCGAGGACAGTTTCTAGCTGGCTTCTGATTGGATAAAATTTGTACGAACGAACGTGAATAAATCAAAAGCCGTCACACTTTTGGGCTCCTTGCTGCAAAGCAAGGTTGACTCACATGAGCAAAGTCCTTGAGGTTGGGTTTGGTTTTAGGTCTAAGAAGTCCTTTGGGTCTCTTACGAGTCTCAAACACAACTCTCTTGAATATCATGGCCTGCATCTTTGTCTTTGCCTGGCGAAATGCTGCTTCAGTAGCTGGTGTTGACTCTGAGGTGCTCATCTTCTCAATCTCATTCAGCTCATTAACCTTTGCTAGACCCCTCTTAGCAAATGCTTCAGCATGTATTGGTACTTTTATGTCAAAGTAACACTGACAAACAGCTGTGTAAAGGGTGGTACGCCATGTAAGGTATCTAACTGTCAAAAGAGGGACTGATGATTCCAGACACATGCAGGCCCACAGTAGAAACTCTAGTGCCTAAACGGGGAGGTAGAGCAATAACATGAACATTAGCAGTATTTAGCGATTGGTGGACTATAGAGAAGAGGAATAAGTCCTCTTCTACACACAAATCACGGACACGAATCACGGACATTAAAAAGTAGAAATAACGCATCACGGGGATTAAAATTCCGTGTTCACGTTTCACGGAAATTTCCCAAGTAAAAGAACAGTACATGACTGGACCTGTTCAGAATGCCGCTGTCTGCAGAGTTAATGATGAGAAACCACTTAAAAATTAATTGACGTTTTTGATAGTAGAGTTGATCTTCTGCTTCTTGTGCCTCCCGCACAATTAGTGCAGAGAAGTAACGGAAGTCAGGTGAACATACAATGAAATGTAGGTGGAGGTAAACTGATGATGACTAATGCAGACGGAGTATAGTACTCAAAAGGAACGTCATTTGACTTTCCCTTGCTTCCGCTACGAGTAGCAATTGCTCGCAGAAACGTCATTTCATCCTGGTTGTCGTCATTGTTTATCGCATAAACTTTGCTCCCTTCTGCGGACTTTTTCTAACCGACGGAGGTTTATTTCAATCGAGGGTCCTAGACCACGCTTTTCGGACTCAGCTTTCAAACCAACGTACTCAATGATGTGGCTCTTAAGAGCTTCAAGGAATGAATTCTTACTGTTTTTGGGTATTCAACTTCGTTCTTTAACTCCAAGAAAACCCACTGGCATGGATCCCACAGCTTTGGAATTTACATAATATATTACTCCTTCCAATTTAAAAACTTGTCCCTCTAATTTAAAAACTGTCGGCCATTGCAACTGAGATCCCCACGCAAACCCCACGTGTGTTAGCTTCACGAAAATGAGAGTTGAATTATGATTGGCTGAAAAATACTGACTCACCAGCTCACGGAAATCGTTTCCCAGCTCGGGATCGCAGACGCTCTTTTCTCGGGGGTGAAACAAGAGCCGAAAAAGTTGTCTGCTCTTGTAGGCTAAGTCATAATTTAGGACGACAACGACTGTAAGGGCCGGTTATTTAAAAAGAAGCCCAACTTAGGACGCGCTTTAAGAAATCGTTGGGTCTCCACATCTCTTTCTAAGTGGGTAATATTAAGAAAATAAAAGTTTCTCCAGTCTAACCTTTTGTTGCTATGAAACATTTCACGATAACCAGTGTTTAGATAAAAGCGCTGAAAAAATTGAAAATGGCTTAGAACACAGTTTTGTTGAAACTGGCTAAACTCCGTTTAAATAACCGGCCTTAAAGTCATTTAAGACCTTTTAAAAAAGTTCAGTTTAAGGTCCACTGGCTTCACTGCAAAATTTGTGTTTTCACGAAAAAGTTTGATGAAACTCACGAATATCGAATAACAGATTTTAAAGTTCACGTATCACGCCAAGCAAACCATTCACAGTTCCCGGATTTTAATTTCGTATTGTCACCTTTCACGAAAATTGAAAACACTTAATCCCGTATCACGCAATAACCCCTTTCATCCCCTCTATTATGGGCGATGGTACAAGATAATGAAAGAAGAGATTACACATAGGCATCATTATTGTTGGTAAACATTTTTTACACACAGTGCATACATTACTTCTGGATGATCAGTTCCTTGTTAAAGCATTTTAACAAGAAAAATTAAATTAAGGAACGTTATTCTACGTTTCAATGTTTCGAACCTCATTATCAAGAATGAAAACCGTTTAGTGTCAAAGGTGTTATATTAGAGTTGAAGTTTGAATAAATTGGATTGCATTTGTGCAAGCTTGATCATTACGCAGACGTCAAAAGCCTCCCCTGAAGTGAGTGTGATTGCATCTTTAGTGATGATTTGAGTTCCTGTACAATGTATTACAGTGCTGTAAACAGCATTTTGTAGACAAGACATTCAAATTTATTCCTGCACTTTTTGAGGGCCGATGTTATTATAATAATAATATCATAGGTGATGAATTATTCCTTCATTTTGGCACGAAATTTCAGCGTTAATTTGTAATTTCACATGTGAAATTACAAAATTGCCATGGCAACCTTCAGTATGTCTCAGTGTCAAGATGGCGACGAAGTTTTAAAATGCCGTGAATGAAGATGTCAGGGCACAAAAAAGATAAACATGTCAAAAATCCAAGATTGCTAACGTAATTCGTCACCCATGATATTAACAGGTAATCAAATGATATACTCGTGAAATTAGGGAATAATTTCACTTGCATTTTGTCCAAATCCTAATAATTTCCCTCTACTAAAGGCTCGGGAAATTATAAGGATTTGGACAAAACACGTCTGAAATTATTGCCTAATTTTACTCGTCACCATTTGATTACACATACTAATTATCATCATTAATGTTGATAAAACACAATGTAATTTCATTTCTATTATTACCTTACTGCTGTGTCCACAGGTCATCAGGTGTCTGCAGATAGAGTAGATATGCACAGTACCTAACAATCAAACAAATCCTGTGTTAGCACATGTGAGATTCACAAGAAGTCCTACAGTGTAGCTGCCAACAGGATTCCATCAGACAGAGTATTTTAAGCCCTCAGGCCTATATGTACAAAACTGTACACCTACAATGTACAACATTGGTCAAACATGTTGGGACACTTGATGTGAAATTAGGTGGATGAGTGCAGAAAAAACTGTTTAATGTTTTAATATTTGTTTTTTGTTTGTTTGTTGTTTTTTTTTGTTTAAGTTTCTTTGCTTGTTTATTTTTTACACAACTAGTGATGAGACATTCAAGTGATGAGCCAGATTTTACTGAGTAATTGTTTTTCTAAGAAGGAGAGAGCCGTAACTAATAATTGCTCGGAATTGCTTTAGGCCCGCAGCTGCTCTTCTGACCTCAATTTATTTATCACGAATGTTAGAGCATCTAAAAGGTTTTAAAATGTTGTCACTGTGAGTGGTAGAATGACATCACCCCTAAAGCTATTCCAAAATCTGAACCCTAGACATATCTCCTTCAAAGATTTTGCATGATATTATTTTAAACCAAGGTGCTGCACTAAGTACAGTAATTACCATTAAACACTAGCCAGCATAGTTCCTCTTTGTGAAGTGCTGTTTGTGTTGCCAAGCGAAGAACTTTTAAAACTGCTACACAATGAGATACTTCATCAAGATTCTGTTGAAAGGCAAACCGGGCATTAAAATGGTCAGAAAGCATTTTCAAACACATCCAACTACAATGCAAGCTTTCCAATCAGAATCATGAAGTTACTAATAATTAATTGCATAAGCCTTGCATTTGTTTGGCAAAATATAAAAAAATATCTTTATGTGAGTATGAATTTACATTGTACTGTACATAATATTTCTACAATGTTACACTTGCCTGTAATTTAGGATCCTCAGCAGTCCTCACATGATAATAACAAATGGCTTCACCCAGAACTGCTCTCAGCTAGGTGTACATGACATAAGAAAAAAAGTATCAGTGTTCTCACCAGGCCGCAGCCTTGCGGGATTCCCGCAAGAAAAAACTGAAATGGCGCATTAAAACCAAGAAGATGCGCCCGTTAGGGTGCAGGGGCAAGCTACGAGTCAAACGGACTTAAGTAGTTTTAATGGTCAACCTAACACTAAAGCATTCTGTTTGTTTGAATAAATAAAAAAACATGATATCAAATGAGTCAAAGTCTTTAATTTTGTTGCCTTTACTTTCATTGGTCCCACGCACGTCCCACTACATCGTAAACTCCTCCTCCGAATCGTAAACACCTCTTCCGCCATGTTGGATCAGGTAGGTACTTCATGTAACAGACAATTTGGAGTGCGGGCTCAGGTTCTTCGTATCGCGAGTTTTTTGTAACTTTGTCCCCCTAATGTTCTTACAGGGCCCCTATTTCTCAGAAGAGGGGGCCCTGGGACTCCCCAAGGCAAAATCCTGGTGAGAACACTGAAGTATCATTACCATATTGAACCTCCAAGGGATACCACTAAGATTTTAAGTTGCCGGACAAATACGACAAGTAGGCCCGGGGAATAAAACAGCTAGAGATTTCTTTTAGTGCTACAGTACGTTTCTTATATTTTCCTATGAGAGTAGCTGGGGGACTTATATTCATAGTAGCCGGGGGAAATTTCCGGGCCCCGCCTCTTAATGAAAGTCCTGAACCTCCATTGTAAATTGTAAATATCTTATTATCCACTCCCCACAGGGCTTTTCAGGGATAATTTACAACACTGGTTGGGGGACTTTGCCAGACTGCTTAAGGTGCAGTTTACAAGTACTGAAGGAATGAGTGATGATGCCCCCATACATGAGTGTGAAAGTGAGATAGACCACTACACCGGGCACTACGTGCCCTACTCTTTACAAAGAGTGTGTGGGTTCTTTAACGTCGCGCAGATTTCTTACATGTGCAAGGGCTTGTGAGATGGGGCCTATGGTTTATTGTCCTTATCCGAGAAGACTAGAAAGTCTAACCATTTGCAGATGTTATTACAAAGGCAGCACTTTCTCCTCAGTTATTTAAAGACCCTGAGTGTTGGTCCGGCCGGGGTTTGAACCTACGGCCTCCCGCTCAGCAGACCGGCGCTCTCCCAACTGAGCTAACGGGGCGGCGGCTGCAACCATTGCAACCACCAGACAATTAAGCAAACATATGGACTTCACTGATATCTACAGTTAGTCTGATCTGCTAGTCAATATACTATGTTGCCCAAACATTGTGGTCTGTGTTTGACACATATTTAGTAATTTTGGGAAATGAAGTACTTACCACCATTGTAGCAAGAGCTAAATCATCAAAGCCTGACATCAGATGTATTTTGTAGAAGCCTTCAGCATCTACTTCTGCAACCTCCACAAGTGTAAGGCCCCGTTGCAAATGTTTGGCTAGGTATCTGCCATAACAGTGGAACTGGGCAAGTTTATATTCCTGCAAATAAATTGGAAAAAAACTGACTTGTGCATCCTTGCTGTAGATTTTGCAAGACTGATTATTCAAGAACTCTAAATGTATTGTCAGAAGGATTGCAGCCATTCAAAAATATTATTGAATGCAGTAAGCCTGGTCGCATCTCTTTCCTTTTTGGTCTAGTATTCTATAACTGTTAACTTTGTTTTTCATAATTTTCCCAAACCAATCCCGTGAGGTCTTCCGAGAGCTGCAAGGTCACCCATTGAATGACTACAATAAAGTGTTCTACTAACAAAATCATGCACAAATCTTGAAAAATCAATTTAAATCATTTCAACTGACTTGCATGCAAATACAGTAATGTACTATGTGCAAGGTGCAGTACCATTAATTCTTTTGTGAGTTTGCAAAATTAAAGTGAATCGAAGAGTCACTAGTCATGTCATATTCTAAATTAACATTGATCACACATCTGGAGTGTAGTAATGCTATATGAACTACAGTTTTATGTACCTTGACAGTAAACAGGAAGTCCCCAGTGTTGAGCAGCTTTTCTTGATAATAAAGTGGTGGGAGACGTCCTTCATAAGTGTTCCACATGGAAAATAATGTATTTGACCTTGAAGGGGAAACACGTATTATTATAATGGTTAAAAAAATCTAGTTCATATTTTGTAACTTCAAGTAAAGTGTGGTGTTGTTTACATCTGCACGCCTAATTAAGGTAGATACACATGTAGATCTATACAGAATAATAAATGTCCTACCCTTGCAAGGCTGTGCTAGCAGCACCCAGGTGGTCTCTGCATGGTGCCTTACTTTTGTCTGAGAGTTTTAGCCTTACCTCTCCCTTTTGGGGAGGGCCTTCAGGGCTGTACTCTAGCAGAGCCCGGTGGCCCCTGGCACCTAACTTTTGCTCTTGGGTGACTGCAAAATCATACTTTTCTCATGCAAATCATATGCTGGGCACCCCAGATTTTACATGCTTCCTTTCATTTTCCTTAGAGCACAGTATTGACCTCGTGTAAGCATAAACCATAATTTATTATTACAAGGACATGACCAAATGAGAGAGTCAGAGAGAGAGAGAGAGAGAAGAGACTGTGTTTTTTATCTAGAGAGTGAGAAGTTATTAGCAAGAGTTCAAACCTGGATTCCATACGAAGCAAGAGAGAAAACACAATACATCATGATTTAATTGAGAGCAAAGTCTTTACAAATGTACGCCACAACTTTAACTACCAGGTGACTAGAAAATCTTTGACCGTTTATAAGCTGTGACTATTTACCCTCGTGCAAGAGGCTCCTCATCACTTTTCTTGGTCTTAAGTCCAACTTCAGATTTCTTCTTGATGTACTTTATAAATCTGGACACTTCTTGTTCAAATGCCACCAAAACAGGACTTATTTGCTTGTGTTCTAAATATCATACGAAATATTACAGAAGGGAAATGTTTAAAGCATTTCACCACAAAAATTACAGTACTTTACGTTTCGACTGTGTGAAGAACGATATAATTATTAGCTTACCATTTTACAGATTCACAGCATTTCAGTTTTAGAACAAAGTTGATATAAGCTTATAATTATAACTGCAGGAAATTTATACGAGATGTCAAGTAAAAACTAGGGCTCCTTTTAGCTCCTTTGATCACCTAAGTTCTACCACTGAATAAGCTAATCAGAATATCGACAAGTTACCGGCTGGAAAGAAAAGAACCCATTCAAATTGCAAAACATCTGAAGAAAGACAGCTCAGAAAGCATGACTGGCTTCACATACCGTTAACGTTTGTTGAAGATCCAGAGGACTGCAGCACATTTCTTGAATTATTACCAGCAAAAGACTTTTTGAGGTCTGCTTCAGCTCTTCCTGAACTTGTTCGGTCCATATCGAGGAAAATGTATCCTTTCTAGCCTAATTCAACCGTTGTCTTTCCTAGCTGAGTTTATGTTGACAAGACGCCATATTGAAAATTAACAAAACCCGCGTTTCCAAGGACTGTGTAGCCTCTCCTGCTGGAGTGTTCTTTGAAGGGTGGGGTGGGGGTGTCATCAATATTCATGTGACATTAAAAGGTTCGTAAACAGACTAAACATAGTATATTAAATGTCAAAGCTTACTTTTGTTTTGCTGTAATTCTTACTCAGAATTAAGCCCGATCTGCTCATAGGAGAGGAGGCTTTTAGTATTGTCCAATGCTTGCTAAGGGGTATAGGATGGTGACAAATCATCTCAGACTTTGCGTCAGCAAAATTTAAAACAACATCAAACATCAAAGGACTTTACGATTAAGGGATTGTCTTCCCTGGCTCATTCTTCGTTCATAACAAAAGGAAGGCAATATGTGAGTATTATGCCTAAAATACATTTAAATACTGTTGAATACGTTTAAAATTCAACTCAATCGCAAAAAAAACTTCGCGTCATTATTTCTTCACATTTCTTAAGTTGGATCCTCAGTTTTCAATATTTGGCAAAAACAAACTTTTCTTTCTTTTTGTATATGAAAGTTATAAATCTGGGTAAACTATAAATTCTCTCTACAAGAACACTAGATTATTCACTTGCACAAAAGACCGTAATTTCTGCCTGAAAAGCGGCGGCCGAAGTTGAGGCGAATGTAGCTGTCACATAGTTTATGCAAAATAGTAGTCTTTTTATTATTCATGGATAAATTTTTAAAACTTCTGTCATTTAGGAAGACTCAAGGTAACGACGGAAGATACGCTAGAGAAATGTTTTTGCTAGAGTTGAAACGTAGTTCCACGCTTCGCTCATGGACTCCATCCGCCTTTTTTCATTATTAACGTTATTATTGATATCGATTTTTTCATTATTTTCAGTTTTTTTTGTTTTACAGCAGCTCTCGTAAGCTACTCTATTTAAGGATGTATTGAAACAATCAGTTCCTGGAAGCCTCGATCCAATTTCTAAACGTGTAAAACATCAAAAATATTGCGGCATGCATGCCGTTTTCCAGCAAGTGAATTCGTCTTTTTAACTTGAAAAAATCTTCCCACTTCCTCCATCGTGATTAATTTCCATATATCATTCTTTCAGTAACAGCTGCTCTGTCGGTATCATTTGCCAGGATTTTGCGTTCTTTTCGTTACGATAACAATAAGCCAGTTTGAATTTTACCAGCACGATAACTGAGCTGAAACGCTATTTAAAAAGGTAATTTCGCATGTGCTAGCAGATAAAACATTCAAGTGATTGCATCGAGATGGAATCAGTGTAAAATTGCCTGTGGTGACGTCACAAATGTTTTTCTCCGACGCAAAATTGAAACACGACACGATAACTCGACACAACCGCTGCTCTGGGCCTCAGGGCTTTTATAGAGTGTGATCATCTCATGATGAAACGTTCTAGAGTCCTCCATCAGGCAAAATACATTTCCATATGGGTCGCTTTTTTGTAAACACGCGCGGAACTGGGAAGTTGACTCTGTTACCGATTGTAACAAACTCACGGTAGGTACTTTGAAAAAGTAATTGTTTACTTGAGATAAACATTTGAGCAAGCCATGTCGTTATCTCAACAATCCGATCTCTGTAAATGAAATAGATGGGGACAAACTAAGAAATGCCCAAAGTTCCGAGGCTTGTTCCCTTCTAACCAGTAATAGACCTCAATTTGTGTAAACAACACATAATTTGCATTAACATATTATTGTAGGCTTTTTTGTTAAAACTTAATTCCTTCGCAAAACCCGACCAATTGATGCTCGTTCTCTTTGTTAGCTGACTATTTTGACTCAAATGTGCTCAAGATTCGAATTCTATAGGCTGGTCATCTTCTAGGTGGATTTAATTCCACAAAAATCTCACACATGTCGCAACTCGAGTGAATAACACCAAACATGTTCCCTGAGACAAAAGTTCATCTTCGATTGCGTGATCAACTAAAAACATATTGCACTTTTTAATGTCATTTAGTCAAAAAAACTCAGTTTAGAAGACAAAATAAGCCACATAATATTGATATAAAACAAATTAAATAAGCAGTACGGTTGTCAAAAAACGCGGTATTGAGGTCAGCCGCGAACTTTAAGTTTATCTGATAAAAATTGCCAAAGTAGCTGATAGTAAGAAAAAAAAAGAAAGATTGATGCTTGCGAGTTAGCACTTGTTTTCATCCAGGATCCAAATAAAAATGAACATGAATCGGTTAGGAGCTGATATAAATATTCTTTAAGTCAACCAAATTTATCTCTTGGCAGACGGGCAACACTAATTTGGTGAGCCTTGAAAAAAAAAACTTTTAACTTCCACATTACAGTAAATAATTACACATATGATAATAGGTGTACATAAAAAACCATTTGCATAAATGCTCTGTGTTAACCCCATTTTAAATCAATCATTGCTGCACACAGGGACGCTTGCTGTTTCAAAGCTCGGAGCAGAAACTCTCCAACGACTGTTCCTCATAGCGACGGAAGAGCCAGATATTCTAGAACAGCCTCGACTGATCGAACGGGTAACTTAGCAGCGCTAGCGGACATTTTTGGCTGAAAAACGAGCGTTTTTGCTCTTTTGGATATTTTTGACACCTCACATTCGTCTGTAGTCAGGTTGGAAAGAAGCGCGGAAAAGGTGAGCTGGGTTTGTTATTGTTTTTTCTCCAAAAAATTAAAGGCCGCAAAACTGTTTTCTTTAACAACAGTTGCCCATGACAAGTCTGACCAAAATATTTATATAATTTTTGAAAACGTTGAAATAGCTATTGTAGCAATGTGCGTCAGCATCAGTAGCAACTGCAAAAAATGTTTATTCTGCAAAATTCGTCCGCAGTCTTAGAGAGGGCCATACGAGGGCTATAAAGTCACCTTGTATAGATAGAACTTAGCGTGAAAACTGTTGTCTTAATGCTAACGGTGCAAAATGGCGAGCTGTAAGAAATTTCATTTAGGAATTAAGTGTTTCCTCTGCATCGGTTAAACTTAAATGCTCATGACATATTGTATTAGCACTGACGACTTAAGTTCTGGTTGAGAGAGGCTTTGCTCGTTTTTTCATCGCGGTCATTACACAAGCGGATGAGCTCTGTAATGCAACTCCCAAGGAAGAAGACCAAGTTTCTGTCCAAACAAACTCTACACAGCTCAGAATTGCTGATACTTGGCTCTCATTTGGCAAAAATGTCAACATCCCACGTCAAAACTAATCGATAAGCTAATACCAGACAGACCTTTAAAAAATGCCGCTGTGTAAATTCCACGAACCATTAAAATATGAACTAGAATCATTCAGCACCATTTGGTGGAATTGCATTTCGGATCGTTAAGAAAATTGACTACTTTCGACGCTTTCCTTCAAAGCCTGACTCATTACACATTGAGTTAACAAAGCCGATTGAAGATATCACAAGGACCGATTTATTTTGATAAACCAAGTTTGTCGAAGCGCTTCCGTCCGGGCGCTGTTATTTGTTAAAAATTATCGCATTCGTGCCATGTTATAACAAAGTCCATTTACATCGCCTAGAGAAATTTAAGCGAGTTTTGTTGATTAAAATTTTGAGTGGACGGAAAACATCTACTGAATTATTTAATGTGGTTTCCTTTTTTTTCAACAGATGGTCCGAGACTGTAAAATTGCTTTGATTTGATTTTATCTTTTATTATATCTATATATATTTTTTTAGTGGAAAACAACGCTAATTTCATTTTAAATGGCACGAAAAAAATTAAGAATAGATATTCTTCCTTTTTTGAGAAAGAACTTTTGAGTTCAAAAATGAAAAAGTCGTCACCGTTTTAAGCCATATCAAGTGAAACCCTGAGTGAAACTTTGCAACTAATTATAAATTAGCATAAAACAGGGAAAACTATGTCCTTCAAAAGCGTTTCAAGACTTTTGTTTCTAAATATATCCGATACAAAGATTTGACTAGAAATATATAAGCTCGTTGAAAGCACAATTTGTCATCAAAATATTTCATTTTCATCGTAAAAACGGCAAGCAGCTAAAGAATTGTTGCAGTTCATAGTATTGATTTTTTGACCAAAATCCAAAAGTTTAAAGGAAATGAACTCTTCAATTTTCTGAGGAGTAATTTAGAAAATTTTTCAATCTTTTTTTGGAAAAGAACTCGAGTGGGCCACATACAAGTTAAAAATCTTGAACTAGCAATTAACAATGATCATCGTTCTTAAGTCTCAAAATCGATGACGTTTTTTAAAAGTGTGCTTATTAAGTGTGTAAATAAGAGTACGTGATAAAGCGTGGGTCCTTTCTTACTGCATATCCTTGACCCTGGAAATTCCTCACCAAGCTTATCAGAACAAACAACGCGTTAAAAGAAAGGCTCTCTCATTATTGAAAATGTTGACTCAATTTTTTTGTGGTGCAGTTTATAATGCTGTACAAGATGGTTATAATTTCTTTAATCTGTGCAGGGCCATAGCTAGGCTTTTTATAACAAGGGGGGGGGCATTATGGCGAGTGCCGAAGGTACAAACCTCGTATTGGGATCTGGTTGTATCCTCCCCTAGAAAATTTTCAATTTGGAGGCTTCGAAACGCTATTTTCAGCACTTGTCATGAGATATGTCGACCACTATAATCAAAATAAGTGAGTCTAAAGAAAACAAATCCATCCACAGACTTGATGTGTCTATCCCAACAGGTCCAAGGGGGGCAGCTGCCCCCCTTACCCCTCCGCTAGCTACGGCTCTGCTATGGATGAAATCATAAAGTGTTACCATTCAAATGAAAACCAATGAGCAGTACTTTTCTGTTTTACTGTTTATCATGCTGTAAAAGGCGCTCTACCGTCTTTAATCTGTGGATGAAATCCTAAGGTGTTAGGACCATTCAAATGAAAGCTACTGAGCAGTACTTTCCTGTGGTAATGTTTATCATTGATTAACAGTACCACAGGAAAGTACTGCTCAGTAGCTTTCATTTGAGCACTGTACAAGGTGGTTCTATCTTTTTGTTTGTGGATTACATTCTAAAGTGTTACCATTCAGATGAAGGCTACTGAGCAGAACAACTTTCCTGTGGTATTTTGTGTTATGCGTAACTGAGGTTACGTTGACGTTTGAGTCCGTATATAGACTCTAAACCTGTCACTGTTGAGAGCCGGGTCGCTGCGTGTTGCAATCAATAGCTGAGTTTTGCGTGCTACCAAGATTGCTGATAATGTGGGCATGACCATTCGTTATCTCAAGATGTTAGTGAAAAACGTAAGGCAGTGCAGAGATACTGTATAGCCAATAGCTCGCTTTTACCGTCCAAGTTGTTCTTGCCAAGGTCACAAGTCAGTTACGTAAGTTCAGTTTTAGTTTTCATTACTTGTGCGTATTATACTTTTTCAACTAACAAAGTTAACGATCTTCTAAACGAGTCTAAATTACAATTCATAGATGTGCAGAACCATTATTTCACTCAAATTTTCAAACGAAAAAAAATAAGACTGTCATAGCAGTGAATTTCTTAACCCTTGAGGATCCTTGAGTTGAGCAGATTGTATATAAAAGAGGCATTGACGGTAGAATAACAAGTGGATTTTTGTCGCTTTTTCACTTTAATGCTATCGCAACTATTTAACCTTGTCAAACCCCGTTTATACGGACATTGAGGGGTCCATAGAAAGTGTCCGTATTAACGGTACGGGGTGTCCGTATTAAGCGGGTTGAATTTAGAGGAAATGTAAGGGCTTTCTTCATTACGAACAGTTCGCGCGCTTTGTCCCCGGGGAACGAGGTATTCCGTATTAAGCGGGGCACTGTCCGGACACAGTAATTTTCATGGAGTTATAATAACTCCTCTAGTGGGGTTAATTTAACTCCTTACAGTGGAGTTATTTTAACTCCGAAAAGGAGTTTAAAGAACTCTTTTTCAGGAGTAAAAGTGACCCCAGATATCGAGGAGTTAAAATAACCCCTAAAAAAGGAGTTATCCTGTACCTAAAATTTTTACTCCACTTTCAGCGTTAAATTAACTTTAAAAAGAGTAGAAACAACCCGTGTAAGGAGTAAAAATAACCACATTTCGGAGTTCAGTATTTTAACTTCAGACTGTGAGTAAAAAGAACTATTTTTCAGGAGTAAAGTTGACCCCAAATTCGAAGTTAAATTAGGAGTTAAAGTAACCCCCAAAAAGAGGTTATCCTGTACCTAAAATGTTTCCTCCATTTTTGGAGTTATAATAACTCCCTAAAAATTACGGTGTAAAACGGGATTTGACTGTATTAAAAGTAAATGGCAGCATGCTAAGTACTCCATGTATGATAACCTTGCTAGAACAAGACTCGATAGTTAGAACTTTGAATTATCTCCATACTTGACATTGAAAGAAGAGGGTTAACTACTTGAGTATTCCTCACAGAAAAAAGTATGCGACAAATTCGACACTGTTTTTTGATTCCAATTACACTTCCTACACTCCACTCGGGGTCTTTGAATTCCAATTTACAGCTGTTGGCTTTTTATATCGGTGCTGCACGGTGAGTACTTGAGATGATTAGTCTAAATTCGCCAGCCGTACTTTTCCAAGGAATCAATTTTAGACTACTGAAATAATACGTACTTCCGGTTCTAGTGCTTGGACGAAATCACAGAGTGTTATGCTTTAAATAGTACTTCTTGTTGGTACTTTCAAAGTAGTGTAAATTGCCTTCAGATATTCGCGACATGAATTGAGATTTTGCGTTGTTGTTGAATTCGATTCGATCACTGCCCTATCACAGGAATTTGGGTTTAAACTTACCAGATCCATTGGACGTATTATATGGTTTCTTGATGTGCTCAATTTGTGCTGCAGCCAAACTTGGACAGAATTTCGTAATGGCTCAGAGAATGGGCATATAACTTACGATCTAGTCGTTAACTCAACCTTTTCGTATCGTCATCAAAAGCAGTTTTCGTCACAGGATATGAGAGAAGTGACTGACTTGATTCACGGGCTCCGTTCCTCGAAAGTCTTGGGAGCTTTTAGGGACAAGAGCTATCTGAAAGGTCACATCTCATAAATCATCAGCACCTTCCATTATTCCGAAACCCGAAATGTTAACGGGACTCCTTCCATCCAAAAACAGGCCAAGATACAATACCGCTGTCGATATGACCACGGCAATCCGTACTCAGGGTTCGGTTTTTATTTAACTAGACATGCACACCAGAAAGTGTATACTGGGCTGCCATAAAACCTAGACTAGATAGAAATTATGTATTGTATGAAAACGAGAAGTTTACCACAACAGAAAGCTGACAGCGTATGAAAGAAAGAAGTAACCGTGCTAAACCGGCATTCCCGTGCCGGACACCACCCCAACACACAGGTATCATTCAAACTAAGCTACAATCTTGGACAAAATAAATGGAAAACCTAGACTCCCCCTCCTCCCCAAATCAAGGATGGGAAAATGGCGCGTTTTTGCCCTTCGCGCGCCTTCATCCTTGATTTGGGGGCGATTTTTTTTTATTTTGTCTGCTTCGACAAAATAAATGGAAAACTAATTTTTGCGACCAGGTGTTATGGGAAAATGGCAATTTAAGAGTGTCGTGTGCCTTCATCCTTGATTTGGCGTGATTTTATTCCTTTTTTTTTTTGTCCAAGATTAATACTTTCCGTCTTTTGTCAGATTTTTTGACTGATTGCGGGGCGGAAAATTTTTTTTTTCTGTTTCAATTAAAACTAAGAACATAAACCAGGTGTTAGGAACTTGTTTAAGACGTACTGATCGGATTGAAAACTGGCAGATTTTAGATTCAAGAAACTTTGTTATTTCGTTTCCCTCGTTTGTCGATTTTACTTGTTCTGTGAGGATTAAAAAAATTCGACCCTGTTTTTGGTTAAAAACAACATATCCTGAAACCGGCCGTACAGCATTCACGAACTTGGTTTTTCTGCTGTGAATTATCGGATTAAAAACTAAAAGTACCCGGCATTGATTCAAGTTCTTGTTAAGTTCGTGCAATCAGGCTGTAATGGAAATACAGATTTTCAAACAGTACTACGCGGTATGCGTACACTATGTAAAACCAGTTCATTGTATACCGTTTTGTTTCTGAATTGAGGGGCGAGTTGTAATTGAACAGACACGATTTCGTTTTTTGTTTTTGTGTGTAGTAAATTTTAGACAGAGTATATTTAATACTCTGGAGTAAATTTTTGCGGGAAAAATGTTTTCGTTTAATAATTTTTTGCGGGAACTTATTTTTGCGGATCGCTGAGGGAAAAATCGTAAACATCGTAAAAATTAGAACCCGCAAAAAATTCGTGCCACACGGTATCTCTAGTTTATCTGAACTTGTTTTATTTTGTTGACAGCTTGTCTCTATATTTGAGGAAAACTTTAAGAAAAAAATCGTCCCCTTCGAAGGAGAAAAGCTTCAGCGCATTGGAAATTTTCTTTATCGCGTGCAATACCATTGAGCTGTAGTTAAAGCGGCCACACAAGGTTAAATTGTCTAAACTAAAACAAACTGGTTCGACATGGACAGAGTTTTTAAGCAAAGAAAACGTTTCTTTTTTAGTTTGTTATCAGCAGTATTTTTGTAAGGTCTGATTTTATAGTACACTGCGAACCGACCGGATGAAAATGAACTTTTGAACTTTTTTGAAGGGACGTCTGTACACAGGCTAGCGTGTGCATAAGATAAGAGTGTTCATTCCGGAGGTCATATATGGCGCCAAGAATGGGCTCCTGATGGCGCTTTTTATCCCGGGGGCCCGGGGGGGGTACTTTAGAAATTTCTGGGTGGGGATGTGCCGCTGGTACCCTGGAACCCTTAACCTATACTAGAGCTAGTTCAGCTGAATTTTGCCACCCTATACTAGAGTAAACTCCCCAAATCCCCCCTATCCTAGAGTAGCTGTTTTCCATAAACTACTGAGGTCACTAGCATAGTCTAGCCAAAACAAGCTGAGTTGTGTAAATTTCAAATTTCAAATTTGATTTTTTTATATGTTTGAGTGGCAATTCCCCGTTTCCCTACTCCAGATAAAATCTTCAACCAACTGATCAGTTTCCTGAAAAATGATACCCTATTCTAGACCCAAACACTCTGATTTATATACCCTATCCCAGAGTAAACTGCTTGAAAACCATACCCTTCACAGCGGCACATACCTATATAGCCCATATATGGCAGTACCCCCCCCCCCGGGCCCGGGGGGCAGTCCACATAATGACCTACATGGGGAGGCTCTGCGCCAAAGGGGTACCTTTTTTAGGCTTCAGGTATAAAAACGGGTAGAGATTTCACTAGCTGAAGTATATGAAAGGGTATGAAAATGCGTCATTTCGGTCAGTAGTGAAGGCCCAAAAGGACGTAGGCTCACGATCACGTTGTTTATCTTTCCTAGCAAAAAAACATTCTTTGCATAGCAAAATCTTGTATCTTCTTTAACTTTTATTGTTACCTCGGAATCGTTGTAAACATGTCCGGTCAATTGATTTGTTTTATACATTAATAACAACAGCCTCTGTATAAACATCTACATACGGCACTAGAGGATTGATCACTAAATACGCGATTACAATAATTGCATAAATGATGATAGAAACAAAGCAAGATAAAATCAATGAAATCAAAACAAAAATTAAATGTAAAAGCAAGGATATTGTTACCTAACAGCTGGCTATTGAGGTACTGAATTCTTCCTTAAATTTCACTGATCCAGTTGCTCGTAATGTTTACGTACCGAACAGTTTGAGTTGAACAGTTAATTCGGGTGATTCTTTTAGCCCCTTTAACTCAGTAGGTAGCTCACTTACTGTACAAGGTTTCCTCTGATAAAAGATACACTCGGAAGAGTTCGCTTGTAAATGGGTCTCTCGCATAGTATAGTTCATGAAATATACCACTTCCAAAATGTACTCTTGCCATCTTTTACTGTGGGCTTATCATGATCAGGTTTACATTCGTATGTTTTCATTCGTATGCTTCCACCGACGATAGATTGCTAATAGCTTTGTGTTGCTTCGAGCTCCTCGGAATGTACTTTGCTAAAGTCCCTGACCTATTCTACATATACTCTTATATCTTGCGCACGCGCTGAACACGCCAGAGTGCGATTTGTGCCAGAAGGAAAAACCGAGCCCATTTTATAACTGGGCTGTGCCACAGGTAGCCCAGTAATAAGTTCGTTGCGCTGGGCGGTACACAACAAATTTTGATATGTGGAGGCTCCGCCCCGAGGTTCAACCCCTTACCCTTTTATATACCATTTTTTACGAAAAAGGTACCCTTTTCATCTACTTTCTATTGACAAATGGTACCCTTTCACATACCTTGATTAGAACTTTGCATCCCTTTTAACTGCTGTAAATGCACTGTCGTTTAAATCAGAAATAGGAATCAATCACAAAAATAGAACGTTTTCTCGACTTTATAAAGCCATAAAATTTATCTGTTAGCCCTTTGGGCCCTTTCACAGACCTAAACTGACAGATTTCCCTACCCTTTCGTATACTTCAGCGAGTAAAATCCCTACCCTTTCTTATACCTGAGGCCTGAAAAAGATACCCCTTTCCGGTGGAGCCTTCCTGTATAGGCCATTATTAAGAGATCCTCCCAGGGTTTGTTGTTGTTGTTGTTTGTTTTTTTGTATATTTTTATTGATATATTTTTTTCACAATCGTTTCAGATGACGTCACAACTAACGAAATCCACTTCACCATCTGAAAATGGTAGACTTGGCTTTCCTATGAGTGATTCTACCGTAGCGTTTTTGCCAGGAAAATTTGGCAAAGAAAAATCTACATCAGGAACCTGGTGTTCTAACCCCAAACTTGTTTTGGCCATTGTGACCGTTATTATTCTTCTGTTAGCATTGGTTATTGTTCTTATAATTTTGTTGACTTTAAACAAAACAAAAGGTACTGTTGAGACAAATGGCCAGCAGTCATCTAGTTGTACCCTTTCATACGAAGCAAAACGCATTGGCTTGGGCTCATTTCTTAACGAGCTTGAATGGAGATACTACGAGTTGATGCCGGAAAAAATCGGTTTTAAGACCGATGTCACAACAGACGAAGTTCGGAAACATTACAGACCTTACGATCCTCACCCTAACGCCATCAAGAACTTCACCGACCAGGTCCGAAAGCTTTACGACAGGCTGGAGGTAATAGTCGGGAAGGCGAATGGGTCGTTATTAACTATGCGCGAAAACAAGGGAATGTATTTAGCGCAGTTCTTGTTGAGGAATTCTTTCGACTGGGGTCCTTACCAACGTGATTATTATGCTGGTGACTGGATGTTTGAGCCGAATTTATACTGCTGGCAACCGATATGTGACATTCTAACAAACTTAGAGAAAGTGATTTTAAGGTTTCAGCCGAAAAATCTCGCTGAAATGGAAGCGATTGAAGAACTTCTGAAAAAGCATAATGATACTATTTCACAGTATATTGAGAATCTGAAATTGGGCGTGGCCACTGGTATGGTTCGATCCGTGAGATCTTGTAAGGCCGGCATCATCGCTCTAAAGAGAAGGTATTACGATGTGGCAGTCAACAATGCTTCAGGTAAGTGTGGGAGGCAAGTTTAATCTCACTAGCTCCTTTAACTATTACTCACTCCGAGTTTCAATAAGAAACACACGAATGTGACGTCAATATTTCCAACTACGTTTGAGTCTGTGGATCGATCGGAGTAATCTAGTTCGATCATTCCCATCCATTGAAAGCTATTAATCAGATGTATTTTTGCTTATTTAATAATTATTATTCCTCGAGCCCGAATGGGATCTGAGTCAATAGAGTGTTTTCACATGACGTCACGGCGGCCATATTGGTGTCCCAAGACAATGAAACGGCGGCCATGTTGGTGTCCCAAAAAATCCTCGGGACAAAAACAACTTTTCTTATTAAACGCTTTCTTTTAATCCAATTTTGCATAGATGCTGGCCAAAAGAGTGAAAACACTCTTTGAGGCCTGACGAAGGGCCATGAGGGCAAGCCTAATACCAATTAATGTATGAGGCTGAGTAGGATCAGAAGAATTAAGCATCGAGGAGGGTGTTATCCACCAGTAGATAATTTTACATCCTCCGAATGCTTTATTCTTCATATCCTATCTAATCGTTAATTGTTTATTATTCATTCAAAATAATTCCTAGTTTAAAAACATAGCTAAAACATGCTTACCTGTTAAGTTTATCTTCGATAGTGTACGTGTAAGTTTGTCCAGCTCCGCAAATATTCTCCAAATAGCAGATGTCGCCCTCCGAGTTGTCTTCTTGCTGTTTTTGCTATGTTTTTAGCCATTAGTTCGCCTAGTTCCAGCTGTAGTTTTTACTCTTGAAACGAGTGAAGTGTTTTCACAGCAAAAACAACTCAACCTCGTCCCAGGTCTTTTCGGTTAACGGTGCATTGACCTGCAGAAGGCTGCATTTTTGACGTAATTTCCTCGTTAAACACAGAATTCATCCAAATTTAGTAATCAGTAACTGGTTATGGTGAATTATGCATGTCAGAATTGGGGAAATATTTTGAATGAATAATAATTGTTTTTAATTAGTAAAATCCAACTAGTTGGTCAAAAATATCGAGACAAAACAACTTTAGCTAGTTAAAGCTAGACTTTAATCCTTTTTTGCTGCCAAAAGTCGGCGCTTATCACTACTAGTGAGCTATAACATATAGCCTAGTAGTAGCTCAGCCAATCAGAAAGTTACCGAGCAGTACTTTCCTGTGGTGCTGACGCTGTACAAGGTAGTTTTAACTTTGGAGTTTGTCGATGAAGTACTTATTATTATTATTATTATTATTATTATTATTATTATTATTATTATTATTATTATTATTATTATTATTATTATTAAGCGTAACCTTTCAAATGAAGGTTATATTACTGAGCATTACACTCTCCTGTTATGATATGTCTATAGTCCTCCGTACAGTTAAGGTGGTTCTACTAACGTCCTTTTAGTCAATAGATGAAACCTGCATGAACTGTCATAATTTTATGGGTCTCTCAATATTTCGCGAAGTATAATTTGGATTAATATTTAAAATAAAAAAAAGAGAGACTTAAGCAGACTTGGCAAAATAACTCTTTTTACAGCAGCGTGGCTATTAAATAGTACGGTAGCATATTTGGGTTCGTCATAGACAATGGAATCGAAATTGTAATCCGTTCATAAATGATGGTATCCTTTCTTTATTCTTAGGTATTCTCGACGAGGGAGTAGCCATATCAATTCTTGCTGACAGCTTCACTGCCAAAATTACCCAGGACATGAACAGCACGTGGTACAAGAGACGAGAAGAGAGCGTACGCACCTCCCTCAAAAGATTTTTATTGCTTTATCTGGGGGAACCGCTGCACAGACTTTTGAGGTTCGTGAGCGCTTTGATAATCAGACATTACGATTATCAAAAAAACCTGATCTTGACGAAATAAAGATTCCGCTGTTGGGACATTGTACAGTCAAACCCCGCTTAACGTACACTCGCTTAATTAGGACAGTTTGCTTTGTCCCTGAGAACATTTTCTCTAATTTCAATCCGCTTGATACGACCTGTCTCGTACCCAGACGTCTCTCTCTCTTGATGAAAATGTGCGCGCAAAAAAAGGCGGGAAGAAGACAACTGTACCCTTTCCATGGTCCCTTGCGGTTCATCACCAGTCAATCAAGTTTCGCGCTCGATTCTACCATGCGAAAAACGAAGCGCCTGAGTAGGAAGCTGGGGTTTGACTGTATAACAGAAAAAATTTCTTCAACACCGAAAATTTCTTGAAAGTTACGCAGGGCTATCGGGCCCATCCGGATCCCTTCATCTTAGACATTTGTTGTTATTCGCAGCCTTGTTTTGGTGAGGAGGCAAAATGTCGCGCCATGTAAGGGAAGCCATGATCCTGGGCTTTGGAAATCCCGAGTACAGCTAAAGGAATCCAGAATCCTACTAAGGGTGGAACTCAGAATCCAGAAAGACTTTAATCTAATACCTGTAATCCGGAATCCACGATTTGGAATCTAAAATCCAAGACTGTCTTGGATTCCCCCACATGGAGCGAAAAATGGTCCTATAAATCGGGGGCAGATGGTAGCCCTGATCACGGCCGAGTATGAATGTTTATGGCCTCTTGTATCTTGCGTGGACGAAAGCAGGTGGTTTTCCAGGCCAATAATAACCATCTCTATCCTCTATGTTTCTGAGTAATCGTGCCGAAGCAAATACCCCGATGCTTCACATTTTCACTAAAATCGTCTAGCATGGCTAAAATTCCAGCATCGGGTGTGGGTAAAGAATTCCGTTTCAACTCAAATTGTTGCCTAGTATCTACTTTGTCTTGGTTTCTACGTCAGTGCTTGCGAAAATTCCCAAAACTGACAACTGTAATTTTTCAACGACTAACACCCGTGCACCAAAAGCCTTATTAAACCAAGGCACAAGCTTGGTTCGACAAACCAGGCTTGCCAGGCTTGTGTAAAGAATGTGCAAAAGCCTGGTTAACCAGGGTATTTCTGGTAAATATTAGTAAGCTTGGTTATTAATTCTAACAACCAGGAAACGGACATCATTTAACCAGGCTCTAAATGTACAAAATGAACAAGGCTCACCAGGCTCATAACCCGAGTTATTTAATGCAGTAATAACTTCTCCGTCTGTGTCTCGTTACAGATACCTTGAAACGGAACATCTGAATTACTGTTATGAAGAAGCAGACGGGATGGCAAAATTACCGCTGAAGTCTGTTTACATTAACGGCTTCCCAGATCGTACCCGCGCAACGAGTGGGAAATTGCCAAATGGTGACGTGATAAATGCCACTGAGTCTTATACCAAACTGTTGTCTTTCTTTACAAGTGGAGTTATATCACCTGAGGAACTTCGACAAATGGGCAACAAAAAACTGAACGATCTACTCAAGCAGGTTAGAGAAACACACTTTGGAGGGTGGCTCTGGCCACGTACTGGGTTCTCGGTTGTCCCGGTAGTTCAAATCCTCGGCCACGCTTGTATATAGCCAACCAATTGCCTACTAATTGCCAGTTGAGGTTTTTAATCCTTTTATTATACCTGAATTATTGCGGGCGACAAGAGAAGCCCGCAATCGTAATCTCCAGGTTGAAATTTTGCATGCGTCACATGTATGTAGCCTGCGAAGAGAGGAGGGGTGTGACGTCACGTTACCATGGTAGCAAAAATGTTTGGATCTCAACGATAGGGAGCTTAAGTAACAACGACGGCTGCAGCAATGAGAAGGGGAAAAAAAAAACAATAGGTTTAGCTTAGCAAAACAATATCTTTGCTCGTGGATCTTAGCCGTCGTTGCACGACCTTCTACATGAAACTTCCTAGACTCATGCCCTCGGTTTGTAAAGTAGGTGAACAAAGCAAAACATTATCTTTTTCTTTTTCAAAACTTAGATACCGTCGTTTCGAATTCAACGCCAGAAAATTTCGCCAACATTTGACAAATTATATGAAATTGAATAAGATCGAATGGATAAGGTTTGAAACAGCGGTGAATTCATGTTTTCGGTTTGTTGTCATCCAGAAATTTTGCTACCATGGCAACGTGACGTAACAACTTCTCTTCTATATTCTTTTGGACTTCCACTAAGAATGAATGGAATGCACAGAAAGCAATTTGACCACTCGCGAACTACCCTTTTTTGATGATTTTCAAAATCATTATGAAATCATTTTGTACTCTTCTAAATTAAACTTTGCCTGTTGAAGAAAAAAACATCTCTTGTGACTCTAACCAGCATTTAAGGAGCCTTCCCCCCCATTTCCCAAACGGGTTACAACATTTGGGAGATAAAACAAATTTGATAACTTTGCAATCTTCGATTTCAGTTTCGTGTCTTATTCCAAGTGTGTTGTAGAATTTTACAGATATCCTATAAGTAGACCTCGATACACCCGAAAGGGGGTCAGAGACTGTGGTGGGAGAAATTGAAAATGGAAGGTTAGCAAAAGGGAGTTAAGTAAGATATGGATTTAAGGTAGCCAAGGACGGTTTATCTCTATTAATTTCTTCTCGTCTGGAATAAGTTTACCCCTGCTTTTCTTTAGTGATTGAAGACATCCTTTCATCAAGAGATCTAAAAGCCAAAAGTCAAATCAAGCTATGTCTAAATCTCTAAAGACAACTAGTTAACATCACTCTGTTGAGAATGTGGCTGCAATTAAAGCTTCCACTTACATTCGACTGTTTGATGGGTAAGTACTTATTTTTCCCTTTTGTGTACCACAGGCAAAGGAAATTGCTCGGCAGTACACTGGAATACAAGAAGATAACACTGCAGTTGTAAAATTCAAACAAGCTCTAACCTCACGTGACATGTTCTTTAACGATGGACCGTTTCCGGTAAATGAATCGGGTGAGGACGCTTACATGAAGTGCTATGACACACTAGGAGCGTTGAACCACTGCCCTGAACGATGGAAAGCGTTGGAGAGATGGGTTAACTCGACGAAGGAAGTAAGATGAACTTGATGCTCTAAAAGAGAAAGAGCTTGTATTGTTTTAGCTTTAGGTGTAATTTGAATCTCAGCATTTTTGTTATACTTTCCTCCACGTTCTTGTCACAATTATTAGTTTGTTAATATTCTGTCGCACCTTTCTGGCTAGCTTTCTTTATAAGTTCAGCGCTTTTCCATCTTGTATTTCACATTTGATAATGGTCTTGAAATAAGAACCGAAATATTACGTTTATTTATTTTGTGCCAATTCTTGCTTACACTTATATTTTAAGTTAGCAAGATTTGTTTCGGAGATGTTTTTGTATTGTTATATTTAATATTCTGTCACACCTTTCTGGCTAGCTCTCTTTTTAAGTTCAGCGCTTTTCCATCTTGTATTTCACGTTTGATAATGGTCTTGTAATGAGAACCGAAATATTACGTTTATTTATTTTGCGTCAATTCTTGCTTATACTTATATTTTACGTTAGCAAGATGTTTTTCGGAGTTGTTTTTGTATTCTGTACTGATGATTAATTCTATTGCTCTTCTTTTGTTTCTTCTCTTTTTTCCACTTGCCGTCATACTGACTTTCCCTTCAACACTCTTAAGCTCAAAATCTCTCACTTTTCATTTTATAACGAATTACCGGAAGTGCGTTTAGAATTTCGACAATAGCCTTTTTAACAGGCCAATCATGACACGTATCCGGAAATGCTGGGTTTTATCAGGAGCCCATCTCCTGGTTTTATAAATTGATTATTAACTATATCTCGATATAACGTACATTTCGGTATTTTTCCTTGAAAATTCTTTTAAATGGAGTTGTTCGATATAACAAACCCTCAATACAACGAACAAATTTCCCTTGGCTAGTTCCTTGGCACAATCGAGGTTCAATCGAGGTTCCACTGTAGAAGAACGGGAGATATTTTAATGGTGGACAGTCAAATGCATTGATCAGTCAAACTAATGCCTGGTGTCATCTTTACCCAGGTTGCAAAGCTTCTAAAACCTAAAATCAAATCACTATTCTACGACACTGGACCTAAAAAGACAACGCCCAAATGTGGCATCTCCGTTAAAGGAGAATACAACCCGGATGTTTGTTTCCATGGTTACGAGGTGAATTTTGGTTGCGTAACATCCGCGTATCAGACATTGCCATTCTTTATGAACAGTCATGGACCAAAGTACACGCAATATACCACAGTATCTCATGAACAGTTACCAGGCCACCATCTGGAGGTAAGTGCGGGTAATTTCAAAAATTCGCGTTGATTTCTTGAAACGTTAATTTCCGCGCCCTTAAGTAAGTGAAGAGTTAATTTCCGTGACCTTAAGTTCCATTATTTTGGATACTCATCTGACATTCTTAACACCTAAGGGACCGGACATTATTTATCGCCTGGAGTGGGAAGGGGGGGGGGGGGAGACCAAAAGGGGGGATCAGTCATAACTGAGAACCCAAAAGGGGGGATCGCTGAAAACTTCGGAAGGATTCAGACCAAATAATCCGCCGTTCTCCCCCCGCCCCTCTCAGGCGATAAATAATGACCGGTCCCTAACAAAGAGGAGTATTTTATCAGGGTGTAGATCCGCTACGAACAGTGAAACTGCGAGTAACCCTCAAAGTCGCCAGATTTCTTTGCTTAACCCCCTTCATAAGGTTAGGGAAGGTACCCTAATTTATACCTTAATTTCATATGGTAATGTAAGCTGATCTGACTTGAAATCTGGAAAATTACAGGTCCAAGGCTTCTCAGAGAATTTTGGTGATTCCTGCCGCGATGCTATTTCGTGGATCTCTGATGAAAACTACCTGCCTTCATTCACAGAAGGCTGGGCAACGTACGTTGAATATCCACTAATGGTTGAAGACACAGATGCTTATTCCAACACGCAGGATAAACAAGTGTTATTACAAAAATATGGCATGTTGAAATATCAGGTGCGACACGTACGGTTTTTGTTAAAAATTATGTTTACTTATTCACTAGGGTCGGGTTATTCAATACTGGGATAAGATAACCTGAAGGGTTAGTGCGAATTTGAATTCATAAAAGTCTTAAAAGAAAAGTCGGTTTAATTCTTTTTGTCTATGACTTGATGATAAGATGAGAAAATGCTTTTGAACGAAAGCAAACAGAAAACCAGATTAAAATTTAATCCTAGCTATTTGTCGTTGTTATTGTTCTTGTTAATAGGCCATTCGCACGCACACTGGCGTCATTTTACTACTACTGCCAGAATCCTTTTCGTTTTATCTTTCATGATTAACTTTGGTTATCCCAGCGAGGTTCAAACAACAAAAGAAAGCAAACCCTGAAGGATTCTGGTCGTACTTAAACTGACGTCATCGTCCAAATGGCCTATTGAATTTATACTATCTACCTTTCTGGTGGAGAGAAGCGACGACTGGAAATACGTCTGCGTTCGCAGGTTAAATTAATTTATAACATTGCATTAAAACTCTTATTCATGAATTTTCACCATAGATTCTCGCGGCGTTGCGTTCTGTCTTAGACACTGGTTTGAATTACTTCGGTATGACACGTCATGAGGCAATGATGCTTTATGATGAATATGCTTGGGACAACAGTGACCTGGCCATCAAAGACATCACGCGGTACCAAAGCTCCCCTGGGACTGTAGTGAGCTATATGATTGGACAAGAGACATTCGCAAGGTTAAGAAAACAAGCTGAAAAAGAACTGGGATCGGACTTCTCACTGAAAGAGTTTCACTACCAAGTATTGCGCCAAGGAGAACTGCCCCTCAAGTACCTGGAGATTCACATTACGAGGTTTATAGCATGCAAGAAAGACTCTTCACGCCCAGGATGCGAGGAAATATTATCATAGTGTTCGCTTTTTTCAGTTTTTGTCGACTTCGTAGACGTTCACTGGTGGCTGCGAAAACTAAAGCATTCAAGCCCTGAAAGGAACTTTAAACGATAATATCTGCGGTTTCATTCCCTGATTCAAAATAAACAACAAACTAACATACTGTGCTTACTAAACCAAAAGGTTATTCATTTCTTTTTGCATAAGAATAAATGGTCATTTTGGACTCTGCTGAATTAAGACAACTTTTTTGCATAAAAAAATTGGTGGTAAAAAGAAGCATTGATGCAAAAAGGGAGCCAACAGAGAAGAAGAGAATCTTCAGTCCAGGCCATTCTGAATAGCATGGTAAATTGAGTGACAACTCAGTACCAGAACCTACCAGACGGTCGCCTCAGTGCAAGGGAATCCGGAATTCGGAATGCGAGATATATTTTCGCTGATGGAATCCAAAATCCTAGGCTTTGGGATCCAGGAATACAAGTACAGCTCAAAAAGAAATCTAAAATATCACTTCAGTCTGGAATAAAGAATCCAAGTTTCAATGACGAAGACTGGAATCCGGCACCTGGAATCCGGAGTACACGACGTGGAATGTAGAATCCAAGACTGTCCTGGATTCCCTTGCATGCCGCGGTCTCGTCTAGTTTAAAATTACTGCCCAGTCGTAAAGACTGGCACCTTGTACACCTTGTACCAATAACATTATAACCGGAACTTCAGGACACTACTACTCAGCAGATTTGAATTCATTGAAATGGTTACAATTCAGAATATCTTCAATAGACTCCAAAGACTCGAAGAACTACTTACCTATCCACAATAACGTCTGTAATTCTTACCATCTCTATTTCAATGGCTCAATTGTTTGTATATAGCTACTATTCAACTTAAGACGACCAAACCGCTTGTACTGGTTAAAAGACAAAGATAAAAGAAATAGTTTGACTCTCCCCGTTATAAGAAATTAAAAACGGCACCGATATGAGACTCTAAAACCAGCGGCTTTAGCTAGTATTCAAATAACCGGTCATTCCGCAAAGAGTTCAGCGAGCTCATAGAGAAAAGTATAGATTGAGGTTTAAAAGAAATTCCTACATTCATTTGTGTGACTTTCCCTTTGCTACAACACAAACGCGACAACCCGGGTATGTCTGCAACTTTAAATTAACTTTGCATGGTTCCTGTAAAAAGATGTGGTACTGTATCAAAAAAGAATTACCGTTGTATGAGTAAACTATCTGGTTAAATCAAGACTTGGTAATAAATACCGCTGCTCTGTATGCTTATGCGAATTTTGATCTCTCAACATTGAAACTTTAATATTTAGCAGAATATATATCTGAGAAATCATTTTCTTCATTATTTAGCATGCTGTATTTGAATTTCACCAGTTAGCTACCGCAAAATTCCGAAAATAAGCCCCTTCACATAACAGCCCCTCTAAATATAAGCTCCCCAAACTCGTAACGCAAAAATCCTTCCGTTAAATCTCCCCTCCAAATGTAAGGGAGCTTGTACTTGGAAATTGCCCTCAAATACAAAGTCAAACGAAGAAAACGGTAAATGTCCTTCCAAGAATAGCACTGACCCAATCGATTTTGAAACGCAAATTTCCCTCCGTCAAATAAGCCCCTCAAAAAGGGCCTTTGAAAAATATAAACCCCGTGGCTTATTTTCGGAATTTGGGAGTAGTCTATTAAAGTTATAACTAATTAAAAATTCTTATCATTCCTATTATGTAAATAGACGGCAAATTTGTGAATAATATAGTACTTAAGATTTAAGGTCAGAACCACCTCTTAAACCAGAAAAACCAGAATAAAAGTAATGTTCTGCTCAGTAGCTTTCATTCGAATGGTCACACTTCAGAGTTTCATCCACGGACTCAAAAGTTAGAACAAGCTTGTACAGCACAATAAACAGTACCACAGGAAAGTACTGAAAAATAGCTTTTCTTTGAATGTTTACAATTCAGGATTTCAGCCACGGACTCTTAAGCTAGAACTATACGTTGCACAGCAAAATACAAAGCACCACAGGCCTGGAAAGTATTGTTCGTAACTTTCTTCTCAGGATACTGTTTCATGACAGTTACAGACTCAAACGTTAGAACCACCTTGTACAGCATTTAACAAACACTACCAGCGAAAAGTACTTCTCAGAAGCTTTCACCTGAACAGCTGAATACTTAATTATTAATACACAAAAATCAACCACCCCGCTCCAGAAATAGAACTGCTCGGTACCTTATATGTGACTTTTCCAACCGGCAATCCAACCGATATTTTGAATTTCAATCATTATGCACTCAAAAATAAAGAGAGGCGAGAATGTTTTGAAATTAAAACGCCTTCAGGTATGATTCAAAGTTATTAAATTCAAATGCGTAGACAAACTGCATAACCCTTTTATGGACTCTTTTATCCTAACTCAACCTAGCATGCAAACCCGGCCCAGATGCATGAGTGTAAATAAATTTGCATCTGTGCTCATTAATTGAGTTAGTGTTCTGCAGCGACACATATCTACTTAAGAACAGCTTAATTGTACGTCTTCATCGAAGATCACGAACAACTATATTTGATACTTTGACTGAAAGACGAGAAGTTCCCCTAAGCGGATTTGAGTGAGGATCAGTTAACTAGAGACGTAATTACTACAAGACTCAAGGAGAGGGCTAAAGAGGTAAACAAAGCATTCCGTTATATTTACATTAACTTGAGGGTGAACGATGAAACGCAATGTCCCCGGAAAACATTTTCGTAAATAAAGCAGACAAACTTCTTTCATATATGTCTCGAACGGTAACGAACAATCGTTTAACTTTTCCATCGATTCTTTTTCGTAGTGTTTTTTTTCTTTAATGAAGAAAGGCTTGTTCTTTAACAAATCAGACGTTATTGTTCTTAGTTTAGTTAATGGTATTTTTCACACCATGTCTAGCAGATTATAATGAAACCCAGCTTTACGAACACCCGCTTAATATGGACACTTCTAGTCATTATTTCGGGCAGTTTGCTTTGTCCCGCTAAATACGGTCATCACGTTAATATGGACACTTTTTATGGTGGCCACTTCAGGGTCCGTATTGCCGGGTTTGACTGTAGCAGCAAGATTGTTTTGATCACCTGTTTGATTCACTTTGATCAGTTTTAAGCGCTGATAGATGCAAATCGTGCTTATCATCGAGTCGTAATCCATTGGTGGTGATATAAGCTCAGATTGAAAGTCGTGCTCCGAGCCTTTCCGCTCAGTTTCATCTGCTTACATAACATCAACAGAAATCTGGATATATTTTGCATATCCTTCTAATATAAAGCTAAGGGAACACAGAAATAATGAATTGATGTATTGTTCCGCAAGCCTGCAAACGTCAAAAACTGTTCTCAAGACTTTTTTCAGGCAAAAAGAGGCTTAAACAGTATTTTAGTTAACCACTTTATAGTTGCTGACTCATTGTTTGCAAACAGCTCTAAACTTGTTCCCCATGCAGTGCATAGTCGCATGAGCAGGCAATTATGACATATCCATATGTAGCACCAACAAGTCTGTAGTATACGTCCGTCTAGAAAGAAACTACGTTAAGAACGATATTTTCCTTCTACCAACTCACCCACAATGGCGTTTACGAAGTGAATATTTCTTTTGGTTGAGTAGTTACGTGAGTGACGATACAAGGGCTACGAGATCGAGTAAGACTGCCGCAGCGGCCGCAAGCACAAATTTGAATTTTCGAGCTAGTGATCTCCCCAAACCTTTCATGTTCTATCTCGTGCTTTTAGTTCAGTCTAGCGATACCTATATTGTTCTCGAGTGGACGAAAATCCCTCGGAATCGTATGGGCAAAGTCTTTGCAACCTTTCATAACTAAGAAAGTAAAAGCAGGAAACTTTAGACTGTCTTGATGGCCATTAAGGTGGCTCGCACCACTAATCACCTATTTGACGGCATTCCTTTAAAAGGACAGATTAAAAACGCAGACTGAAAGCCACAGCAGAGCCTTTGTAGAGTTGGTCTATACAATGAATGCTTGACTAAAGTTTTCTTTCGTCAATAGTAGTTACCGTGGCAACGTATCTTGAGGATTATTTAAGCCTTCCCTTCAGCTTCCAGCGCTGATACCTCGAGAATCAAGGCGGAGATGCTTTTTTGTAGCATAGCTTTAGGCATTTGAAAAGAAAAGTGTACATTGATTTTTTTAAAATCCTACGCAACGGATTTCTTTCTTTCTTTTTGAAGTTAAAAACCGTTAAAAAGGGTGAAAACTGGTGAAAGCAACCTTAAAAGGCTTAAGACTCCTAAAAAGCTGATGAGGCTGTGTTAAGGAAGTCGGAGCACATGACAGAAGCTCAGTTTCTGTAGCATGTCATTACCTGACCCAGAATTATCTCAGTCTACTCCGCCCTGGATGGGATGTCAAACATCACAGGATTAACCTCACAATCATGTTATCTGCAGGCCAGTAGATCTGGTAAAATACGTAACCGTTGTCCGAAAATGCGAACGTTTGGCTTTTGAATAGGGTCGCGCGTCTCCGGAAACTCTCGATATTAAGGCTCCATTTCAACACCCGATTAGTTCTAATCGTGGGTAACTGTAAACATACCATACTAATCCTGGATTTGCGACAATCGGCATTCAAAAAAACTCGACTTTTGCCTAACATTTATTTTTTCACCGCCAGAGTTCTGAACGTTTTCCGTAAAACGGTGGAAATTAATTAAAAACGGTGTGGCTGATTTGGATCCCCACCTGTGCGGTACCTAATTACACAACCGCGTAAAAAGACAAGCTGGCTGGAGCGCATTCTTGTCTATCAGATTAAAAGCAAAGTAAAGTTTTGGCCTCGCCTAAAATAGTCTTTCAAATGGCTCCTGATGCGGAATGCAATGCTCATTCATTCATTTACCCATTCATGTTTATTTGCCATATCACACATCATTACTGCTAACAATGAAAGTGTATTATAAAGAAAGTTAAAGGAAGCAGATGGAGAGGAAACCTGAAAGATACATACCACGGGGCTGATAGATAATCAGGTTTCCTCAGAACTAAAAATACGCGAGTCTAATATGATAATATAGACCAGCAAAAGTGGTACAAGCTTTTACAAAAATTAAAGTAACTAAAGCTGAAAGCAATATTAAGTTAATACCTATTGAGATGCTTTTTCTATGAAAAGGTCAAGTTATCTTAGCATTCAGAGAATTGTAAAACTATAGACCTTGAAAATAGACGGAAAACTGCCTGGTATTGGTTCTGCATAGCAGTAAACGAAACGATTGAGCACATCTTGTGTTTTCACGAGAAGCTGTCATTTGTATAAATCTGGCAAGGCCACTTTATTGAGGCTCAAACGATAAGTTTTGTTTCATTTTACTTCACTCACAGATTTCCGAAAACTTTCCTAGTGAAAATGTACGAGAACGCTTACGAGAACAGAAGTGCATCAACCATTGGAATAGTTCCTCAGTCTGGCCCGAGAAAGCTCGAAAAATCTCGCCGATGGCTCGTCAACCTATTGATCATCGGTGCTCCCATACTGCTATGCGCGATTTTACTGCTCATCCTTTTTCTAGTCCCAGGCCCTGAACGAAAGACACAGCTGGCTCCGACCCGCTGCATTCTTTCTCTAGAGGCGAATTCATCGCAATTCTCCGCAATGTTACAGAAAATCGAAACAACGTTTTTCCACGTTCTTCATCCAAGGTTTATCTATGCAAGGCCAGGAGTGACTCCAGAAGAAATTCGGTCGGTTTTTCGTCCTTGGGATCCAAGCCCGAGCAAAATGAAGTCGAGAACTGATGAGGCCAACAAATTGCTTGAAGAATTAAACGCCCTTAAGATCAACATCACGCTTTTGAAGCTGAGAGAAAGAAAAGCCCTCCATGTGGCCAAGTCCATTCTGTTAAATAATCAGGGATGGGCACCATATGGTGCTAACTATTACGCCGGCGATTGGATGTTGGGCCCCAACTTTTTTTGCTGGGAAATCATATGTACAGTACTCTTTGACCTCAACGTTGTCATTTCTCACTTTAAGCCCAAGAATATCAGCGATCTGCGCAAGTTAGAGGACATCATCAAGCAGCATAACGAAACCTTTGAGAGGTATATTGCGAATTTAAAGCTTGGCGTGAGGGCTGGGTTTGTCCGATCCAAAGAAGCTTGCGAGGGTGGCATCCACAATATGCATTATACGTTTTACAGAAATATTGCCCTTGGCAACGAAACAGGTGAGAATAATTTTCCGCCGTTTGCATTCTGCTCTTTTCCTTACAATCGTAGCATGGCAAAGGAGCAGCGCTTTATAGCTTTTCAAAAAGACAGCAAAAAGCGTGATATAACTCCTTAAAAGAAAATGAAAGAAAGAAGGGAAGTGGGGGAGGGAGGGAGGGGGGGGGGAGGCGCCATGGAAGTGCTGCGTCCAGGGGCGCCACGAGTCAAAGGAGACTTATTCATTCTGGCTTAGAGTTTTAATGTTGCTTGTTCGAGCCATTATGTTTGCGGTCTAGTGGCTGATAAACGTTGGTCCTGTTAGCTTTACCTCGTTAATTCAGGAAAGGTCTTTAGAAACTTACAGTTCTCAAAAAAGTATTTTTTTCGCAATCAACATTTTTCAGAAACAACTGGCTTTTTTCAGAAGTTTGTGAACAGTAACAAATTAATTCGTAAATTAATGCCTCCACCTCGTTAGGAAACAAATTAATGATGCTCTCATAAGGGCAACGAGGCAAGCGTTGATGCGATTCAGGTAAGATATGTCACAGGGGCGGATCTAGGGGGAGGGTGCAGGGGGTGCGCCCCCCCCCCCCTGAGATGACCTGCGGTTTTCTAATACAACTGGTATTCTGCAAAAAAAAGACTGTGGTTTATTGGTGTTGAAGTAGAGCAAGAGACGAGTGCACCCCCTCCTAAAAAAAATCCTGGATCCGCCCCTGTGTTATGTTTCTTCAATGTAAAATTCGATTTCTTTTCTTAAGGTGTCTATAAAGAGGGTTTCGCAGCGACAATAGGCACGTCAGGATTCTTCGATCAACTGTCCAAGGAAGATAACGAGACTTGGAAGGACGAGAAAGGCCAGGATGTACTGAAATACTTCAACACTTCACTTCTCACATACATCGGCAAACCGGCCTTGAAAATGCTAAGGTTTGGATAACTGCCTTTAGCTAGTGTATGTAAACACTTTAGACTGATATTTTTTCCTTATTATAGGATATATAATTTTCGGGCAGGTGTTATGCTGTTGTTTTTTAAATGATGGGTATCTTGATTGTCATTGCAAGATAGTCATTGCAAGTGCTGGGCGCAAGTTCTAAAGTTATGTCAAAATAAATATGTTGGAGTATTTTAAATACGCTTCAAATTTAGCTCGAAAGACATTAAAAAGACAGAACAGCCTCTTTTCTAGAGGCTGAAAACATTAATTATCCATTAAATATCACATCGTGTAGCACATCATTTTTTTTTCCGGCTTGTTAGTTTGCGTGTAATTCTATTCTAGGGTCACAAATTTCAAAAACACTTGAGTAGCTTTCACCTTCCTGCCCCCGGGTTGTTCAAATCATGGAATAAGCGCTATCCAGTGGATAAATCATTATCCAGAGGGTGCGTAATCCATTGGATAGAGATTTATCCACTGACGCAATCAATCCATTTTCTGAAAAAGTAATGAGAAATTCCAGTCTGGGGGTAAGAAAAAGCGGCAAAACACTTCTTTGATATCATGACAAAAACATGCTCGTAACTGTACTCCAACAGATATGTGGAGGGAGAACATAAAAGTCACTGCCCCACCCCGGATCTGAGTGCAGGTCTTCAAAAGATGCCTCTACCCTATGTCTACAGCGAACAGATTGCAGCGTGGAATACAACCGTACCTACTACCCCGAGACTGCCAAGTGGTGAGGAACTTGTGGGAAGTAAAAGTTATGAAAAACTCATGAGGTTTTTTACTACGTTTGATATCTTACCGGAAAAACTGAAAGAGAAAGCTTTGGAACGTCTTTATGACCTTAACAACCAGGTATGATTAAAATTGTTAGTTTTAAATTTGTCGCTGTGCACTGATTCCGTGCAAGCTTTTCAGGGTGCTGGAATTGCACATTAAGTCTTGAGTTATCTGTATACGTCGTTTTTATATCACTTGCACGAAATCTGGATATCTGAACGGTAAAGGGATAACTAAGATAAATATTTACCAAATGTCAGTGAACAGCAATTTTCGCGGGTTTTGATTGGCTCACGTAACTCGGAATATCCTTGGCAATTCACTGTTTTGCGACCGAAGCCAAGATGGCGTCTCGTTTCCAGACATTTCCGGAAGACGAAATTTGAGCGGTAAAGGAAGCGGTCGTACAAACAAATACAAAGAAAGAGACGAACTTTGTCTTGTCCCGGGGGGCGGGTACTTTAGGACTTTTTGGGTGGGGATGTGCCACTGGGACCCTGGAACCCTTAGCCTACACCAGAGTTAGTTCAAGTGAATTTTGCTACCCTATACTAGACCAAGAGAGCTCTTGACTAGACTAAACTCCCCAAATTCCCCCCCCCCATCCTAGGGTACATGTTTTCCAGAAACAACTGAGGTCACTAGCACAGACCAGCCAAAACAAAACCAATTTGATTTTTTGATATTCTTGAGTGGCAATTCCTGGTTTCCATGGTCTAGACTAAAAGCTTCAGCCAGTTGATCAGTTTGAATGAAAAATGATACCCTCTTCTTGACCCAAACTCCAAACTGTCTGATTTATATCCTACCCTATTCCACAGTAAACTACTTGAAAACCACACCCTTCACAGCGGCACATACCTTATTTTCATTCTCAAATTGCCACAAAATCGTAAGAATGCACTTGACAAAACCCCCGAAATGTTTGTCTAAATTGTAAGCAAAGTTCCTACTATTAAAGTGACGTTTTTCAATTTACAAAAAGTTACTTTTTATCCAAATGATTTGGAAATGCTAAACCCGGGGGGGGTATTCCCTTATATAAGCGATGGAGGTATGTATCGCCCCAAAGGGTATGTTTTTTGCGTCTTTTGGTCTGAAAACGGGTATAGATTTTGCCCATTTTGGCCCGGACTCGGGTATGGTTTTCGAGGGAACTACAGGTGTGTATGAACGTATTTATCTTTTCAATTCCAAATGAGTAAGAAAGAAAGAGAAGTATGCGAATTCGAAATGGATTTGAAGAATTTTTTTGTCTCTGCCCTAATCTAAGTAATGATGACAAAATTTCTGCCTAAAAGCCAGGGGCCCGTTTCTCGAAAGTCCCGATAATTAAAGGGCCCGGTAAGCCGTTGCCGTTTACATTAAAGATCGAGGTTTCAATAGTTTTGCATCTAAGACGATAAAACTATCAGTTAACGAAACAAAATTGATTAGTTTGCTAGAGAGGAACCTCGCTCTTACTCTTCATATTTCAATTTGAATATTTGATTTCGGGCCCGAAAAGTTACCGGGACTTTCGAGAAACGGGCCCCAGGTCTGAGAGGTTGCGACAATGCAACATCGACCCAGGGGATGTTTTGTGTCCAGCGGTTTTAGTGAAAACAAGGGTTTATAGGAGTTTCTCAGTCTCGTAGGCTCACAAAACCTCCCTTAGATCGATCTTATTTTGTATTTCCAGCTCTTAAAAGGGTATGGATTTTAGAGGTCTGGTCTGAAAACGGGTGCGGAAAAAGACACTTTTTGGTCTGAAATAGGGTCAGGATTAGGGGAACCGGGCGGCACACCCCCGCCAAGAATTCCCAGGAGTACCCCCCTGGATGCTAAACCTACAGTATCCCCCTCCTGGTCGGTGTACAGTGCTAGATATAATATACCCCTACCCTTCGCGCCTCGTTATTTACCCGCCACTATTCACTTCCCCTTCAGGGGATAGTTGTGTACTAGTAAAACAGGTTCACTTTCAATAGGCACTGAAAATTATGAGCCTTTCCTCAGAGACCCCAGCCCAAAATGCCAGTCCAAAACACACCTAAAAGTTCTGCGAGAAAGCTAGAAGTCCAAACTTTGTTGAAATATTTAAACCTGATCGGGTCTTGTCATCCCTTAAAATTTTCGCGAAGAAAAAATGAGACTAAACAAAATCAGTATAAACACTGAATACAATCAGTGATGTAGGTATTAATTTCAAGCAAACTGATTGGTTCGATGTCTCGGGTTAAGCGGGCAATAACATATTAAGCTTCTTTGCTGTTTTGGCTCTGTTACTGTCAGCACCTCCGTCGAGAGCGTCAGAGGCTCTACAATTTTGCCTCAGGTAAGATTCAGACTTTTGACACCGACTTCAAAGTTTCCATGATGACAAGACTGATTGCAGAAACTATGATTTGGTATGTTTGAAAAATCTGAAAAGATCTAAACTTTGCGCATGTATTGTTTCATTACAGCTACGTGCGCTTTTTATTTTTTATCAAGCATGACTTTCCAGGCATCAATCATTTTTAATGGCAGGCTGGTTTCCTATGCGCTCGGTCATTTTTAAGAAGGCCTCGGAACTCGTTTAGGCATTTTCCTAAAGGTACTGTTTGGCTGAATACATTACTTAGTCTTACAACACTTACTGATCATGGGATAAATAAAGGTGGAATTCGCCACTTAAGATTGACAAGAAAGGAATTGTGCGAAGGTGATCATCGCAAAGACTTTTGGGATAGTTACTGAGGCAAAAGGAAAAACTTGACCAATAGCTGACCCGCGTGTTCCCAGTAACAATCCCATAAACAATTTCGCACCGCATTTGGCTCCAGTCCCCTTCGTTGTTCTAAAGTGGTGAATTATTCCCTCGCTTACTTTTTTACAGAATCTTTTTATTTTGTTTTGCAGACTATGGAGCTAGTTAGAGAATACACTGGCAAGAATGATGACAATGAAGCTCGGGATTTATTCCGTACTGAAATTGAATCTGTGGGGAATTATTTCAACGAAAAAAGTTTCCCAAGTAATGAATCTGAGAACAACGCTTTCATAAAATGCATTGACGACGAGAGTGCTAAAGCTTATTGCCCGAAGCGATGGGAGGCCATGCAAACTTGGATAAATAACGTCAGAGAGGCAAGTGACAAATAATTTAAGAGGAATATTTTATGAAATATCTAGCTAGATCTTTTAATCTTTAACCTCATAAACTCCAAACTCTGGTTAACCGAAAGTCGAGACCCCTTGCGAAACGTGCACAAAGACACAAATTAAACACACTCCCGACATCAAATACTTTTAATGGAAATTCCTTCACAACCGTTGTAAATTTTATTCTTAGCAAAATATCGTTGCTTTCTATCTCCGTAATCATGAACCTAATTAAACATATGGGTTTGAGAGGAATGAAATCATATTGCATGTACGTCTGTTGTTTAGTTTTTCCTTCATCTTTTGGTAGATTTGGTATTTTCGCGGCAACTGGACAAACTATATAAAGAATAACTCTCAATTTAATGGCTGAAAGAAAACTGTAGTTAGTCGTTAACAAAATAATGATATAAATGATTTTTTTTGCAACATCTAAGAAAAACCGTCAGTGCACAAAACACAGTTAAGCCTGATCTCCATATTATCTTCCGATCGTCCCGATCGCCTCAAAAGCAAGAGACGTGGACTCGCCAGCGATGTCTCTGGGTGACACAATATAATTTTGGCGCGTGTTTTGCAAACAAGCTAAACATGATGATGATTTTTATTCGGAGAGCGAACCTCGCGCCTTGCTGTGTGCTTTTTCTCTCGATTTTGCGGCGTCGAAAAGTTAGAAGAGTTCCAAGAAGACATAGGATCACGTCGAGAAGTTGATGTCACGTGCTTTCTCTAATTTCAAATAGCGCCCATACGCCGGGTGCGAACATTTTCGTATTATTTTTTTCGACTTCAGCGTCATCCAGGCCGAATTTATTCTAGATTACTGGAATAAAAGTGATGATTTCTGGAATAGCCTTCGATCGTTCCGATCGTCTCAGTCCTCTGAGAACGTTTCCATATGATCGCTTCAAAATTTACGCGATCGTCTCGATCGTCCGGATGGAACTCAACTCTATCCAAGCGATCGACGTCGACTCAGTCGACCGGGTCGTTTGCCATCGTCCGGGTAGCGTCTCCATATGATCGTTTCGATCGTCTGAACATTATTTGAGACGACTGGCCATGGCACGATCAGGACGATCCTGACGATCATGTGGAAACCAGGCTTTATCCAGCAGGAGCTGTGTGTAAAGTATAGTTTCAGTTCTTTTTGCTAAGCTTCATTCTCGTTCTGATTTTCTTAACAGGTTGAGAAAAAACTCCAACCGTTCTACAAAGATCTGTTCCATACGGAAGGTCCGAAAAATTGTATACCCAAATGCCCTATGGACATTGTACCTTTTTACCACCCCGAAGCTGTTTTTCATGCCTACGTTATTGGGAATAAAGACTGTTCTAGGAAAGCAAGTCAACAACTGCCTTTCTTTACAGAGAATTTTGGACCAAAATGGACCGAGTATACTACAACAGTGCACGAGATACCTGGACATCACATCGAGGTTTGATTATGTGCTGAGTGGTAGAGATTCTCGGGGATAATAGAGTCGGGACGGGTTAGGGAAGGATCGGGACGGGACGAGACGGGATGGAAAAAGCGAAAACTTTTAAGCAGTGCGCAAGAGCCCCAGACATCACATAAATGATTGATTAAGTGTTGGGAGAAGTTCTTCGGGATAATAGAGGTAATAGGGACGGGACGGGATGGGACGGGGAAGAGGCAAGCACTTTTCAGCGGTGCGCAAGACCCCCCGGATTTCACATTGATGTAACGTTATGTGCTGGGAGAGGCTTTCGGGTGATAATAGAGGTAATGGAGACGGGAAGGAATGGAACGGGGAGTGGCAAAAACCTTTCTTTAGTGCTCAAGGTCCCTAGACAGCACATTTATGATTGGTTTAGTGCTGGGATGATAATGGAGATAATAAGGGCGAGATGGGATGGAATGAGGAGAGGCAAAAACCTTTTAGCAGTGCGCAAGATCCCTAAACATCACATTAATGACTGGTTTAATGCTGGGAGATGTGTTTCGGGATAATAGAGATAATGGGGACGAGACTGGATGGGACGGGACGGGAGGGGCGAAAACCTTTCTTCAGTGTGCAAGATCCATGGACAGCACATTGATGATTGGTTTGGTGCTGGGAGAAGTGTTTCCGGATCATAGAGATTATAACGGAGACGGAACGGGATAGAACGGGACGAGGCGAAAACCTTTTAGCAGTGCGCAAGACCCCTAAACATCACATTAATGATTGGGTTAGGGCTGGGAAAAGTGCTTCGGGATAATAGAGATAATGGGGACGTGGCGGGATGGAACGGGAGGGGTGAAAACCTTTCTTCAGTGCGCAAGATCCACGGACATCGCATTCATAATTGGTTCAGTGGTGGAATAAGTGTTTCGGAGTAATATAGATAATGAAGACGGAACGGGATGGAACGAGGAGAGGCGAAAACCTTTCTGCAGTACTAGTGTGCAACGTCTCTGGAAAACACATTTATGATTGGTCAATGCTGGGAGAAGTGTTTCGGGATAATAGAGATAATGGAGACAGGAGAGGAGAAAACCTTTCTGCAGCGCGCTTCTCTGGACTGCACATTGATGATTGCTTTAGTGCTGGAAGAAATGATTCGGGATAATAGATAACAGGGACAGGACGGGATGGGACGGGGGAGAGGCGAAAATCTTTCAGCAGGGCGCAATTGATCCCTGACCCGAGGTTTTGGCTTAGAACCGGAGAAGATACTCGGGGATGATATAGGGACGGCGAAGAGCGAAGACTTTTCAGAGACTGAAATTGTGATCCATCTGAGAGCCTTCAGGGGCACCCAACGAGGATATAGTTCAAAACCACTTAACATACCATTTTTGAACGTATTTTAGTATTTAAACGGTAGATATAGGCACATTTTTATCCCCTAAAAACTTTTCATCTGTTCGGATTTCCTAGCTGAAAGTCTAGTGATCCGAAAATTATAGGGATCAAAACTTACCTTTTCGAAAATTTTAGCCAGAAAAAGGCTCCCGAAAATTCTAGGTGGCCTTTTTTAGGGTAAATATCCGTTTAAAATGGGTAATTATACCATTTTGTAGATGTTCGAAAATCCTAGGAGAGGCAGGCAAGCAAGAAATTTTACAACAAATGTTCCGAAAATTCTAGTTCTCAAATCGTCTTCCGAACAGATATTTTCCCGAAAACTGCCGTTGGGTGCCCCTGAGCCTTTTGAAAGTATGATTAGTTATTTTCCAAAAAAAGAATCATTAGAGTTTAAAACGTACCACTAGTTTGCAAATGCTCTCGAGGAAGCATTCGTCCCTGCTTCGGAAATCAACGATGACTGTACTTTACCCGGCAAATGTCTTTTACGAGTTATTTGTTTAAGTCTTGAAATTCGTTTGTTTAATTCGGTTTTCGGGGGATTATTTGTCTTCTTACAGGTCCAGAGCTTTACAGAGTATTTCCAAAGTGACTGTACGGATTCAATAGCATGGCTAAACGGTCCAAACTATTTCACAGCCATCACAGAGGGTTGGGCAGCTTACAACGAGTATGAACTGTTTCCAAATTACACTACACTCTACAACTGGGACTCCAATCAACAAGGCCACAAAGACATCATGAAACAGAAGTATGGCATGTTGTACTACCAGGTACTTGAGACTGTCATTATTTAAGACGATCTTTGACAAATTTTTGATACATCAGTATCAAATTATTGTGAAAGGTTTGAACCCCGTTAGAAGTCATTTTATAGGTTGAGTATTGTATATGATCGTCCGGGTGAACGTTGTCCCGTGAACAGGGCTGGTTGTTGACAGTGGCTGACGTTTCGACAACCTGTGTGTTAGTCATCTCCAGAGTCAAAGTGAGTTGTATCACGTCAGTCGATGCTATAGGAAACATCACCGTTTACAAATAATGTTTTTGTTCTTCGACTATGTTACGGGTAAAGAACAAAAGAATCTTTTGATTCAAGAACCAATGCGCTTCTGGTTGAGTATCGTTATTAAACTCTGGTTATTAACCTGATTGGTCAATTAAGTCGCGATGTTTTTGGTCGTGATGACAGTTTTGCGTCAATAAGACGTTTGTACTGGGTCTATTGGTGCCGGTCTGTTGACCATGATTTAGCGGCTTTTGTTCTAGGTATTAACCAGCTTTCTAAAGTGAGTAGTTGATAGTAGTCTGTAGAATGGGTAATGACGCAGAGTCCCGGTGGATTCGATGTTTCGTCTACAAATATTAAATGAGACTTAAAAACTAATATATCAATCCCCACTTAACAGATATTAACAGTGGAACCTCGATAAGTATAACGAAGGGCCAAGGGGCTGGAAAATATATATGCAACGAGGCTTTGCTGTATCGAGGTTCTTTTAATCCAGTGACACATATTTCTCTAATACCGGGGTAAAGAATATAGTTCGGTACACGGAGGGTCTCGTTATACAAGTGTTCGTCGTATCGACTTTCCACCGTGTATAACTTTATAACGTTTGAAATACCTTACATTTTGGTACTAAATATCCTATGGGATAAGGTCTGTAAGGAGGATATTCCTCTCTCTCTACCTTTTTCTCTTCTTGCTAAATACAGTAACAATAATGAAAAGTTTATGGCATGAATGGCATAAATCGTCCAAATTCAATTTAGAGCTATATTTTGTATGAATTGATAACAAACATTGTTTTCATTTTTTGGCAGAAACTTCACGCCCTTCGTCCTATTGTCGACATAATGTTCCACTTTGAAGGCACAGATATGTCGACAGTCCTCAATTTGTACAAGCAATACGTATGGGAAGATAATAATCATCAAGTCAGGAAAGATATCGCCCGCATTCTTAGCACCCCTGGATTTGTAACGAGCTACATGATTGGTCAAATGGAAATATCACGTGTCAAAGACAAGGCCGAGAGGGAGTTGGGTCCAGAGTTTTCGCTGAAGGATTTTCATTACGAGATTCTGCGCGAAGGAGAGTTTCCGCTGGAATATTTGGAAGAACATATAACAGAATACATTGCCTGCAAGAAAAATCCCAATAAAATAGGATGCAATGAAATTCTGTAATAACTAAGTTGACCACCAAAGCACAAGTTCATAACAATTCTCTTTTTCTACTTTACTTTAGGATGATGTTTGAATGAATTTTTTGTGAAACGTACGTTTTACAACAGATCATCGTTGTCATAGCAGTACGGCATACAGCTGTATAAGAGGCCATGTTTTTTATTATAACCAAACAATGAAATTTCTTTTCCTTAGGAAATACGCCTCCCCTTTCTAAGGTTTCCAAAATGATTTACCAAAATGATCGTCATGTGCACACATATTCCTAATTGCTACAGCGTTTGCCGTATGGGTTTAACCCCTCTGGCTGTGCAGGTAATCATATTTCAAAAGTAAAACCGTCAGTTATCTGTTTTAAAGCAATGTTGTTTTGTGTGCCACAGTTTTAGACTTAGATAGTCACAGTCAACTTTGGGACCTCGCTGACGTGGTCACTAGTTTTCAAAAGCACGAGTCGGATACATTTAGAAATCCGCTTCAATCTCTCCTAGTGTCTCATTTGATCTTCGATATTTTACTCAAAACCTGTTTGACCTGTTTCTGAGTAGTCTTTTACAGTATGAACTGCATATCTTGTAATATGCAAATTAGCTAAGAAATGGTATCTAATGCGCATGTGTATCAGCTGACTGTGTCCATTAATTTTGTAACAAAAAGAAAGAAAAAGACAAGGAGGCATTTGAAATTAAAAAAAAAAAAACGTTTCCTGGAGCCGTGGTGTGGCCTGCAGTGAACACGCATGGTAACATGAAGTACATTTGCACATCGCTTTCTGGGGTCCTGCACTAGTGTCTAGGTGTTTGGGGGTGCTATTAGACATGTCGGGTAGAAAATGCACTAGCTAAAGTGTCAATTCTCCCCTGGCAAAACTACCACTTCTTTTTCACCTTTTTCCAAGCTGCGGAGCCGTGTCCCAGGCCGATACATGTGCTAAGACGACCAAAAGGACTGCAATTTGTCAGCTAAATAGGGGGACGGAAATATATATATATATATATTTTTTTTTGTAGGGGCGCAAATAAAAACGGTGGCACTGATCGCATGAGAGTAGGACACGCACGAGAAGAGAGATACGCGCATGGGGCAGAAGCTACTACTCTCGAGCTCGCGCTTGTCTTCAGCTACGCGCGAGAGCTCTCGAGCTCGCGCTTATCACTTATCATGCGCCGCACGAGTCTAAAAGAAAAAAAACAAAAACAAAAAATGTTCAACCAGGTTCAACTTGTCTTGCACTATTGCTGCAATACGAGTTAAAAAGCAGTGTCACGACGCGTTTTACCACCTATGAATCATCAAACCTGTCTTGCAACAAATCGTGTTGTGGCAGGTTGTGGAAATTTGTTGCAGGAAGTTAAGATAGTAGTTTTACTTTTTGCAACAAAATTTGTACATGTTGTGCGTTTTACCGGCCCACTGCAAAGTTTTTTCGCAGCGAGCGACGAAACTCCCCTGTATGGCTTGACTCCCGCGTAATTGTATCCAATCAGAAGTCTGTACACGCGCAACTCGCAACAACCGGATTTGCTGTAAAGACTGTGAGGTTTGAAACTGGGTGGTAAAACGCAGCATCCCTTTTTAACTCGACAGGCTATACTTTGCTAGACTGCAACTAAACTTGTTCCCAGGGTTCTCTTCGACTTTCTCGCTCCGAAGAAAGAGTAGAAACCAGTGACAAGGCAACCTTGTCCCCAGGGCTTTTTCCGAGGTCGATGACAAGGTTGGACTGCGGAGTGAAAAACGTTTGCTTATTTGTCGTCCTGGCTAACCGTTTTTTGGCCTGATTTTTTCTCACCTTTTTTTAAAAATACTAAAGTACATTTAAGTTGTTAAGAATTTATTTGATAGTTTGTTAAATAAATTCTCCTTAACTCCCGAGGTGTTTAATTTAATCGAAAATCCAAATCCCATGACTGTGCATTGTATTTTATATCAATAGCAGTTAAACAGTGTATCATGCCGTGAAGCATGACCGCGCGGGCCGATATCTCATTATATTTGGAATGAAACGCGTACTATCAATAACTAGTTACATCAAGCACCAGTCTGGTTTCTGTAAAATATACGATGTTATTTTTCGACGTTTCTTCTGTGTGACACATACTACAAAAGACAGTGGAAAAGAATATCAGGTGGGTTGACGCAGCCAAAACGGTGTTGTCATAGTAGAAGTTTTTTAGTACAAGCTTTGATAATTTGTGAGATATTTCAAGCATTTCTAACATTTGAACAATTCCTTTTTCAAGGTGTTGTTAATTTTCCCACAATTGTAGTTTGCAAACGAATGTTTCTTCCAAAAGATACTCTTAGGATTCAAGTTTTCTCTCCGTTGCATAGTTGGACCTTCGATTGAGAGTTTAAGGCATTTAGATGCTATGATAATTGATGGAATATGTTACACAAGGAGCTCCACTTGAAATAATATTTTAAGACCCGTACAGGCCAAGTGAGTTTTAGACAGTTTCTATGCAGTAGCCTTTTTGAAGAGTGTTCAGGTTCTGTTTCCTTCAATCACCGCAGAATTTACCTCGGAAGTTTTTTGAGACGGACGATCTGATACCCCCGCTCCCGCCTTTCGCAAGCTATAAGTAATATTTTGCTTTACGTCTTCCACGTAGTCGTTACTCTAGTGTAGCTAGAGAGTTTTTTTCCATTTTTCAGCTTGTTTCAATACAGATTATCACCATGCATAGAAAAGCTCTCAATAAAACTACTCAACATACAGTTGGCGATCGTTTATCAGTTTTGTGTTTGGTTTTCGTGAGTGACTCTCGATGGATATTAAAACACGTCGATTAATCGCATGGTTTTCTACGCACTCTACATCCCATACAATGATTTTAAAACTGGAGTTAAAGGCAGCAATGAATTGGGAATCCTCTAAGTGAAGATAAAGCACAAAGTTAAGCTTAAGGTTTGCTCTCAGTTAAAACGCCTGACTCGATGTGCTAATGAAAATGGCAAGTACTGACGCGAAACGGAAAAACTCTGTTGTGTTCGAGGTCCAACGATGTAATTTACATGTCTGAAAACGAAACAGTTGGGCTACCGTAGTACGCTGTTCTTAGTTGCAAATGCTACGCAAAAAGACAGGTTCCAGGTTTTTGTACGAGGTCTTACTCTAGAACAGCAATCTGATCACACTTCTTCTTGAACTTTACCTTTTTATAAGTTCTTCTTAAGTTGTCTGTTTGTCGTGAATTCATAGTTATGTAAATTTTCGTATTAGATTTTAGTTCCCTTTATACATTCTGACCCTCCAAACATCTATCGTACATCTTGTTTGGAAATTTATCGTCAGATTTATCACAATAACCGGCATGTCCTACACGTATGGCCTCAGTCAGTTCTCTCTAGTGAAAATCATGATTTATAATCTAAGTTGTGGCTGCTATTTGAAATTCAGATGTAAATTAAACAATTGAAGGGTTTTGTTAACGTTTGTCAACATCCTTATCCATGAATTTTCATCACTGAATTAGGACTTCATTCTACCAACCTAATACAGCGTAGCATTTAGTGAATCTTTGAGTATTTTTGTAAATGTTTAAAGTTCTGATCGATGTCTCACCAAGTTTACACTTTCTCGGCAAGATATTCTCATAAACAAACAACGACAAAGTGTTCTGCAATTTACGCGTTTAAGTAAACTCAACTTTGGTAAACATTTGCTATATAAAAAGCAAATTTTGCGGGACACGCAAAGCGGAATGATTCTCTGTTTATATAACATTTCTGAACACTGAAATGATTCGTATCCGGTTCTTTTGATCCCAAGCCAGCGAGCAGGGGACTGGAAGCTACCCTCACGCGGGCTTGTGCTAATTGAGAGTTTACTCATTTGGTTTTCAACTACACCTACCACTGAATGGAGAAACTATTAAAAACTAGAAACACAAGCACTACTTTTTAACTTTATCATGTCCAATCAGTTTGTTTTCTTACATGTAGCACTAATAGTGTAAAACAAAGACTGTTTTTATATACAACTTATATTATGCCATATATAAGGGATAGAATTGGGTTCTGGGTTTGCAACAACAGCCGTAACCAGCTCCTTCCGTGGCAAAAGAGAGGCAGTGTGGCCTACTCAGGCCGAGTGGGTAGCGCGCTCGCAATCAGGCGGTCCTGGAGTCTCGCTCGAGTCTCGCTCTGGCCACTTGCTGGATTTGTTCTCGGTTGTCCCGAGTTAAAATCCACCCGGCCACTCTAGTAAATAGCCAAGTGGTTGCCTCCTGCTAGTTGGGGCGATCTCAACAGCAACCACATCCTCGGAGGCCCAGGGGCAGTTATTCGGGTCGATAAAATGTTCGTGGTGAAAGTTTTCTGTAAGATCGATCTTACAGAAAACTTTCACCACGAACATTTTATCGACCCGACTAACTGCCCCTGGGTCTTCGAGGATGCAGCAACCAAATATGTTGAAAGATGTTGGACCAACATCTTGGATAATGTTAAACACGCCGTTAACGATTCAATTCTTCATTGCAGTGATCCCGTCATGGAGAATGGTGTAAAGAATATGAACTCCTCCTCATTGGCTGTTAACCCTTATAAGTACAACAACAAAGAGCCGAAGAAATCCAGAGACTGGCGTGGTCTGTTAATGATAATTGTGGCTCCACTTTTTCTTTGCGCAATTTTGTTGATAATATTCTTTTACGCTGTAAGAATTCCACCTGTAAAGCCTTACACTTCCCTCTGCCTTGGATCAGCGGAGGCTAACCGTTCAAACCTTACAGCGATGTTCAAAAAGATAGAACATGTCTATTTCCACAAGCTGCATCCCGAGATGATTTACCAGATGGCAAAAGTCACGCCCGAGGAAATCCGAAAAATTTTTCGGCCTTTTGATCCAAATCCCGAAGCCATCAGGAATCGAACCGAGTTAGCCAATGAGATACTTAACGAGTTAAATTCCTTACAATTTAATACTTCGCTGCTTAAACTTAGAGAACGAAAGGCAGTTCATGTGGCTCGATCGGTTTTACGTAATAACTTTGGCTGGGCACCTTATGGACAAGACTACTTCAATGGAGATTGGCTCTTAGGACCCGCTTCGCATTGCGCCATCCCTGTTTGTTCTTTGTTAATTCATCTGAACGCCGCGTTTTCTTATTTCAAACCGCGTAACCTGACTGAGCTGGAGAAACTAAAAGATATGTTTGAAGAGTACAATCGAACATTTGAGCGGCATATAGAAAATTGGAAATACGGAGTAAGGGCTGGTTACGTCAGGCCACTAGAGGTGTGTAAAGCTGGTTTGCATCAGATCAAGTATGTAACGTACAGAGGGATGACCTTGAAAAATGAGCGAGGTAAGTGCTCAGTGCATATAAAATATGTGTTCACATAATTCAGGCAGTTCATGATTACATAGCGTAACCATTTTTAGATCAATAGAATTTTTAGAATCCCATTTACGGCAGACGGCGAACTGAGTCAATTTGTACTACGTGACCAAGTTTCCCCCTTACTTGTCGTTTACTGTTGTTTAATCTAAGTACGCACTTTTAGAAATTTTGTGTCAGGTTCACCCATTAGAATTATCTTGGACAGGAGCACACAACCAGGAGAGAGTAACTCCCTTTGGCCTATTCAACGGCGTTTTCAAAGAAGAGTTTATTTTTAGATGGATTTTCTGCGTATTTTGAATAATATTAAATAGAACTTAAAAATCAGTCATCAAAAACCGGGGACTATGCGCTCCCGTATTGTATAGTTTTCTGTTTTCTGTTTTTTGTTTTTTCTTTCTTTCTTTCATACTTTTTAATTTGAAAATCGACTCAACTGCGATATGCTCGAGTGGTCAAAATTGAGAAGCCTGGAGGAAAGTCGTAATCACAATTCTCACTCCATTGTCTCATGGATAAGATTGACGTGACATTAGCCATTACTGGTGTCACATGAATTAGTTGGAAAATTTGTACCCAGACTCATCCAGGCTGACTTGAACTTGGCGGTGTCTGTTTCAAAAACGACTCGCGCATGGGCAAAAATTGTCTTATTGTCACAAATTATTCCCCACAGAAATGTCTGGTAACATGTATTTTGTTGTCCAAATTGTTGACTTATCATTTATGTTTGGCTTTAATTTCATCTAGGGATTTACGAGGAGGCATTCGCTGTTACTCTCATGAATTCAAGCTTTTTTGATCAGTTGTCAGACTCCGATAACAAAACATGGAAGGAACTGTACATTCTCAATGTGAAGTCGTACTTTAACAGATCCCTTATAGAGAATATCGCCCAACCAATATTAAAGATGCTAAGGTAAGGTCCAAACTGCTCACAACCCATTTTTTTCCTCGAGGGAAAGCGAAGACTGGGTAGAGTTTGTGATCTCTTGCGGACTACATAGCGCTCAGTTAACTTTGGGTCCCGATTGGCCTGTGTAACTGTTACTCGTAATTCTATAAATTTCGGAAAGAATTCGCTAACTTTCGGAAGTAATTGGGTCACAATTAGTCATGGATATTGACCAACGTACCGCTCTCGTGCATGATACAAGTAACTTTCTGTGTCAATGGTCCAAGTTCGGCAGCTTTAGAATTATGCTTAATTTTAACGAACTTTTTGTTTATTCGTTCTACCCAAAGGTACCTTGAACATGAACACCTACTGAACTGCCCAACCGCACAAAACTCTAACAACGGACTTGGAAGTCTGCCTCTAACTTCAGTATTTTATAATGACGTTGTTGATCCGGCCACGACAGCGACTGGAGAGCTACCCACCAAGGAAAAGCTAAGTGGTGCTAAGACTTATGAGAATTTAATGAGATTCTACACTTCTCTGGAAATATCACCGGCTGAACTGAGGCAGAAGGCCACTAAAAGGCTGGAAGAGTTGTACAATGAGGTGACAACATAACTAAAATTCTAAAATAGTTATACCTCAAGTTTTCGTTTGCAAAATAGTAAACCAGCCGACTGCAGGAAAGTACGGCTCATGTGGCGTTATTTTATTTTATTTTTTTGACAAGTGGTCACACATTAGTATTTTATTCACGGACTGTAGAGCATAATATACAGCACCACAAGAAAGAACTGCTCAGTAGCTTTCATTTGAATGGTCACACTTGAGGATTTCATCCTCAAAAGTCAAAAGCTAGAACTACCTTATACAAAGCAAAATAATCAGCACAACAGGAAGGAACTGCAAAAGTATTGCTTTAGTATAGCTTTTTGTGCAATTATCACCCCAAGTCAAACGACTTCTCTATCACCCACAGACCCAAAAGCGAGGACAGGACTTCCTTACAAAACATACACTCCGACATTCGGCTCCCTTGACCCCAAAAGCCCATGTTCGATATATTACAATTCTAACATGACTCCGAGGCTTTAGCGACAAAATTGCAGTTTTTTCACGACTCCATTGTCTCGCAATTCCCAGAATTGAGGGACTTGAGAACAAAAGAAAACCAAACCAAATATAGCAAAATGACCAAATAGCCTCGGTGTCATGTTACAATTTTAATGTATCAAACGTGGACTATTGACTATGACGGCGAAAGGGGGTTCCCTCAACCAAGTATCTATACATTTATTTTTCTTTAGGCAATAGACATTGCCAAAAGATACACCTTGCAACAAGACAACACCACCGCCATCGATCAGTTTACGCAGGCGCTGAACAGACGAGACATGTCTTTTAACGAAAAAACGTTTCCTAGCAACGAGAGTGATGACGATGCATTTAGTAAATGCCTGGATGACGAGAGTGCGCAGAAATATTGCCCCGAACGATGGAAGGCAATGCAAGCATGGATAAAGAATACTGTCAGTGTAAGTAGACTATAGACCAGGTCTCAGTTGTTCAAAAGGGGGATAACTCTATCCACTGGATGAATCGGCTTTCCAGTGGATAACGCGATCGGTTCCCAAATACTTAATATATACTGAATAGCAATTTAGCCGGTGGATAGCGCTATCCAAGTTAACACTTCTTAAGAAAATTCACTTTTAAACTAGTTATAAATTGCCCGCGAATTTTGTAGTTTTTTTTAAGCCTTTCACTGAAATAAAAGCATTTGTGGTTGTCCACATTCTCTGTCTTCCGCTCTGAAGAAAGTCCCTGGAATTGGAGGTTCTGTCAACATTTGTTTTTTGATGCGTTTTTTGATTGCAGACAATGAGCACGATCAGACCAGTTTTGGACCCTCTATTTTACGATAGTGGCCCGAAGCGCTCCATCCCTACCTGTCAAATTGAAGTTATTCCATGGTATCAACCGTACGCCAGCTTTCATGCCTACTATCCTGGCTCTAAAGACTGCACGAAAAACTCTTCCCAGGCGCTGCCTTTTTTCTTGGACAAATTCGGCCCAAAATGGACCGAGTATACCACCACATCTCATGAACAGTTACCAGGCCATCAACTTGAGGTTTGTTGCGCCGTCTTTTACTCATGCTGGTCCTTTTGTACAAATATAATGTAAGAAAACCATTTCCCTTTTTCAATTTTACCAGGAATTGAAAACATATCCTTCAACTCCAGGCAAGCGCGCCCATTAACACGCACATATATATATGCCCGTGCTTACATGAACAGCTAAAATACAGGAAAAAAAAATTAATTCCTGAAAAGGCATTTTTTTATAATTAAATCGGGATGACTGGTACATTTTTCTGACTTTATTGGTGTGTTTTTGCATAGTTATTAGAGCGAGGAGACTGGTTATGAAAGCCGGAAAATTGAACGTTGGACACGGTCAAGTCTAAAAAAGTTAACAAAACCGAATTGCAAAAGAGACTAACGGGATTCATACCCATTCCACTTTGATAACTGTGGTTTTTGTTAGTATTTCTTTTATTCCTTTATTATTCCATAATTCTGATGGCGTCACTAGCCTTTTTTCCTCGTAAGCACTGTACCTCACTGACAACACTAGAGATGCGTATTAATTTACTGAAAATGTCCTGGCTGCAGAAAAGGTTGGGAAAGGCCCTAAATTTAATTTTTTTCTGGGGAGCATGCCTCCGGGTTGGGCCGCCTTAGGCACTTCAACTTTTCTCCCCGCGTCCGTATACAATATGAACCCTCAAAATCTCTGGTTGCGCCCCTGCTGTACTTTCACCTATCCCCTGGTCATGATGGACCGTTCGGGAGAAGCGCCTTTTGACTTTGTTTTCAGACTCTCTCAGGGCTTCGCAAACCCTCCGCCCTGTCCAATCATGGCTCTTGACTCTATGTAAAAGTAGCAGCAAAGAGATTTCAAATGAATAGCCCATTATTCTTTATAGGATACTATCCACAGACCGGGCTCGAAATTTAACACTTTGCTAGGCAAGTATTTCACCTTAATTGCTTGGAGGGCTGCAAGGGGGTAGTACGCATCGCTTAAAATCTTCTAATTTCATTGGTTCTCCATAACACACAGCTCCATTGTTGTAGGGATACAGTCATTGTTATATTTCTATGTCTATTGTTTTCATAGCTAATTATGTAAAAGTCGTGTTGAGACGCGAAAAGTCTTTGTGTCGTGGAAAGAGGAGAGACGGCTATATTCGCAGGCTATACATGTTATCGTCTGGAAGAGGGCGTATATTCCCGAAAAAGAAGGGACTTTTTGATCCGACAACGCTATGATACCAAAAACGTCGCAAACATTTCGAACAATAGTACAGTCAAAGCTCGTTAATACGGACACTTAGGGAAGGGGCCAGAGAAATTGTCCGTATTAACGGTTTAATTTAGGGAAAATTTGTGAGCTTTCTTTCCCTCAGAGACAAACCAAACTGTCCGTATGCGTTTTGACCAGTGGCGGATCCAGGGGAGGGGACCGGAGCACCCGTCCCCCCTCCCCCCATTTTTAGATCAGACTGAGACCCAAAGGTCTCCTTATCTCAGGCTCTGGATGACTGTCCCCCCTCCCCCCTTCCCCCAACCCCCTTATCTGAAGGTCTGGATACGCCACTGTTGACTGTGTTTTCAAATTCTCTTTAGCTTTGCTTACCTAAATCTCTGCAACTCTCTGCCCATTAACCTTAAGAAAGGAACATGTGTAACCTCATTTAGAAAGGCTATTCATAGTCATTTTTTAACGAGATACAATGACGTTGATCATTTTAGCCAAGAGACTATAAAGGGGACAGAGAGGGCATCCCCCATATACACCCTATTCCATAGGTAATTCGTCTCGAGTTATTTTTAGAATCGGGATAAAGTTACCTCGCGCGAGACGTGGATGTTTCGTGGAGGTTTCTCGTGACCAAAGGCCGTGCAAAACATGTCGGGCGAGAGGCAATGAAAGCGTAAAAAGATGGAGATCATTCCTGAATATTGAAGCGAAATGAGTCGGCGCTCACCTGGGAAAAAGGAATCGCTGGACTCTTTGACAACCCGTGAAATCAGTTTAACTAGAAGTTGTCGTAACCTCAGTGCTTTAATAAAATGAGAAATTTCGCCGGTCTATTGAAACCGGTCGTTTTTACAATTTAGGGAGTTTAACATCCAACGACGCGGACGACAACTAGAACGTAAAAAAAACAATAGTTTTAATTAGCAAAACAACAACTTCGCACGTGCAACACACTTTTTTGTTCATTTCTTTCCCGTTTTTGCACGACTAAGACGTGAAAATGCCTAATTTCGCGTTTTATGGAGGACATAAATAAGCAAAGACGAAATTTTATTTCTCTTTCTGAGCTTGAATATGGTCCCTTGAAATTCAGCTTTAGGAGGATTCGCCTACAATTGAAAAAGTAAGTGGGTAGGAATAATCGCTATAAAGACTGAAAAAAATAAACATCAAACCAGAAATTGCTCTCTTCAAACTGTAAATTATAAATGATCCTGAGAGAATATTCAGTGTGTTAAGGATTTCCCTGCTCTACTGTTAGCTCTATACAAGAGAGGAAGGGCGATTCTTTTTTAATTTCGGTTTCGCTGACACAGCTTTCGCAGAAATCTCGCTGTAGTCGTTTTCGTCGACAAAAGGAATGGCAAAATCGCTCTCCGCGTCTTCCCCCATTTTGTTCTGCGTCATTTCGTGAAGGACGCGTGGCTCTCAGCGTGGGTCATCCACGCGGAACACATTCGCGCTATGTGATTGGCTGTCGTCTAATCCCCCTTGAGATCTGTGGTGTTAAAAATAACTCGAGACGAATTACCTATGGAATAGGGTGTATATGGGGGATGCCCTCTCTGTCCCCTTTATAGTCTCTTGTTTTAGCTTAAGAGAAACTTAATTTTATTTCTTAGTTTTATGCTGATACGGCATTTCACAACCTTCCACTCGCTTGACCCACCCTAGTTGTATTCTTATTGAAATTTTAGTTTGTAGATATTCATTGTAAGGATATTTTATAATGGTAATATAGTTTTTACTCTTTTTAGTCTTATTCATATATATACTTATAGTTCTTTTTCTTTAAAGATATGTATTTTTAGGTACTTAATTTTTTTTATAGTTTTAGTTTGAGGGCCTCTAGTTATTGAGTTGAAGTACTGTCCCGTGTTACCCTCGATAAATAAAGTTTATTATTATTATTAATATTATTATTATTATTATTATTATTATTATTATTATTATTATTATTATTATTAAGACTTCACTTTCGCTGTAGCTGGTCTACATCTGCACTCTTCATTTTAGGCCTAGATTTTTCATAGTTCTTTTTTTCTTAGAAATGCTTGATTTTCCTTTTCCCACTCTTAAATTATTCACAATTGTAAACAGTTTTCGATCGTGGACATATATTTAGTTTTTAATTAGTATCTTAGAGTTCTGAATTGTGAATGGGTTTTGCCGGAAATTTGTATTCATATAATATTGATGTGGACGTTTTATTTTTATGAATATTTTACGGAAGTTTTGTGTGTAGTTTTTATAAGATTTCTATAACATTTTAATAAAGAATTTTTCCTTATTATTATTATTATTATTATTGTTATTAATAACTGGTGAAAATTATCGTCCAGATCTTCTTTTCCTAATCCAATCCAACTGCCTACATGTTCTAGAATGAACAATTGGTTTCGAGTCTTCCTTAACAACAATGCAGTGCGTAAAAAAGAAAAATATCTGAACTTGATCAACGAAATGAGTAGAAATCACAGATGTGTGAGATTTGTAGATCTCTCCATGAGCTCCCTTGGCGTTTTCTCCAATGAGTGCTCCACGTTCTTAGACATGATGAATGACATTGGCATTGACAATTAAGCAGCAACTTTATATAATCAAGAAAATGATAAACATAGCCATTAGAGCAACATATTACATCTTTTGTTGTAAAAATAGGAATTGGGATAGCCCAGACTTAATGTAATTTTGATTTCTTTTCTTTTTTTTTTTGCTTTTGTTTTGTTTTGTTTTTTTGAATAATCCAATCTCAAGCAGCATTTGTAAATTGCCTATACGTAGCGAGATTTACAATCGTACATTCAAAACACAAATAAAGTTTTTTCCATTATTATTATTATTATTATTATTATTATTATTATTATTATAATCCACAGGTTCAAAGTTTCATCGAGTTTTTTGAAGACAGCTGCACGGATGCAATTCACTGGCTCAGTGCATATAATTGGTTTCCCGCAATGACGGAGGGATGGGCTACCTACGCTGAGGGCATATTACTTCCTTTAAATACCAACCTATACACTGACATTTCAGACAAACAGATACTGCTGCAAAAGTACGGAGTGATCTACTATCAGGTACATATGACACTTTTACTCTTAACTTGCTTTACTCTGGGTAGCCTCCGGCCCCCACAGACGTTCTTTTGGCTCGTCAAGCAATCCTCAGGAACGCGTCACAAACTCCTAAGAGGGCGACTATAGTCTGGGTGCGTTAATCCCCTGTTTTTAAATTCATTAAGGGGGAGTATAGTTAAAGCATTATTTTTCGTATATTTCCGCCCTTTTTCTTTATATCATATCTAGCCCTTTAGTCCTTGGTTCAATAATTTTTGGAACATTTTAAGATGATTTTTCGAATGTTTTTAATCTATACGAATTGGAGGATGTTAAAAATTTTAGAAAATTGGAAAATATTGGATTTTGAGGTTGTTAAAAATTAAAATATTAAGTGAATAATTGGTAGTTAAGACAAGTACCAGATAGTCCACCACCACAACAACATGCATCTGAGCCCAAAGTGGACTAACTGGTTTATATGTGTATACCTTTTCCCCTTGATTTATCTCCTTCACAAATCACCATCTTAACCCTTTCACTGCCAAATTTAGCCAAAAGCAAATTTTGACCAAATTTCCAAATTTCATTTTGTGAAATTTTGAAAAACAAATAGCACCGTGTGTGAGTACAGGCAGAGAGTGAATGGTCACATCATAGGATTTTGTCTACAGAATCAAAAGTTAGAGTCACCTTACAAAACTCCATCAAACACTACCGATTCACGGCAAATAGACCTTGTTCAATATAACCGCCATTTTTGCACGCGCTTAAGGCCTCATACGAGGAAAAACAGGGTCAAGTGGTTTCTCAGTGGGCAAAGTAGCCTGTTGCAGGCTCTCAGGTATTGCGGAAGACGCGAAAGTGAAAGTGAGAGGCACGCGAAAAGTTGGCGGGGCGGGAAAAAGGAATGGATAGATCCCCAGTTTCCTCCAGTTTTATTTTCGTGTTCGCGCTTTCGCAATTCAGCGGACCCGACTACCGCATTTATGCGAATAAGAGCCCAACCCCGAATTAGCGCCCACCTCGAATAAGCACCCATCCTAAAGGCAGAAAAAGGTCATAAGCACCCAGCCTCGAATATAATGTCCCGGCATTTGTTTGTTTTCAACAGCTTTTGGCCGCTCTCCGAGCAGTGGTGGACATCGATCTCAATTATTACGGTAAAACTCGAGCACAAGCAAGACAATTGTACAAGAAGTACATCTGGGAGGACGACACAGACTTTGTCAAGAAAGACATCATCAGAATTATAAGCTTGCCAGGTTTTGTAACCAGCTATATGATCGGCGAGATGGAGATAACGCGTCTCAGAGATTTGGCCAAGAAGGAGCTTGGTACGGCAGTTTTCACGCTGAAAGACTTTCATTATGAGGTACTACGGCAAGGCGAGTACCCGCTTCCTTATCTTGAAGAAACGATACAGAATTACATTGCCTGTAAGAAGGATCCTACAAGAATTGACTGTAAAGAGTTCTTTTAGCTTGTGTTTGAAGAACCAAATTCGTCTAGTTCGGCCTATGTAACTGCGGAGCGAAAAAAAAAAGGGGGGCTAAAAATAAAATTGGGCATTCCATTTTTTTTCGTACCCCCCCCCTCCCCTTCACTTCCCCTTCTCCTCCAATAAGCAATAAAAGGTGGCCCCTGTCTTTTTTTAAGACGCCGACAACATTTTGGACCCCTTGGATGCAATCCTCAATGGTGCCGACAACACAAACCACATGGGAGGGGGTGGGGGGGAGGCAGTGCGGCTAGAAAAATGAAATGTCCCAATCCAGCCGGTTATGTACGTTGTTTCTTTTTTAAAAACAGACGAGTCAACGTTTATTTGACCTTTCAAAAAAACATGTTTTTAAGTCCTAATCAGTTGACCGCCGGATTCCGGAATCAGGGAAAATTTTTGCTTGTGGAATCTGGAATCCTCGAAAATTTGGCTTGTGGAATCCAGAATCCTGGGCATTGGAATCCGGAATACAGCTCAAAGAATCTGGAATCCCACTGCAGTTTGGAATTAAGAATTCAATTTCCAGTTACAAAGTCTGGAATCCCAGCACCTGGAATCCAGAATCCACGGCATGGATTCCAGGATCCATGACTGTCTTGGATTCCCTTACTTGTGGCGATTAATAGTATCCACTGGAATGTGTAGTTTTGCACACAGTCCTTATTTGGATGGTAACTCAACACTCATACAGCCAACGTAAAGGAGCGCGAAAGACATTACCTATTACGTACAACGTAGTGGACATTTTAAATGCATTTGTTGACATTTGTTATGGAAGAAGAGGGTTAGGGGTGTTACATGTAAATGGCGGTTCCATTTAAACAATATTGCCATCAGCTTATTAGGGCTAAAAATTCAGGGGGCCTTGGCTTATTTTGAGAAACTCTTCAAATTCTCAGTTTAACACCACTGAATTTCCCCGCCAAATAGAGTCTGGGAAACGAGCGCAGAAATTCCATGCAGATGACGTGTCTGGGTAGTGCCTCTGATTGGTTGAAACAAATTGTCTGCTCGCGAAACGACCAATCAGAACAGTTCCCAGATCTGGGTTGTGACACATCGTCGGAATGGAATTTCTGTACACGTTTCTCAGACGTCATTTCGCGGGGAAACCAGCGAGGGGTGGCGTTGAGAAATCTCGGCTGTTTTTTGTAGCATTGAAACAGTGATTATTCCGGTCATAATTTGCCTTTGTTTGCCTACATTACCGCTCAAAGACTCGGGGACCAATTATATTTTTGTGTTTCATATAATTAGTATTGATAATCAAAGCATATAGTTAATGCTTGCTAGTTTTGCTGTGGAGAGAAATATTAGGATAAAGAAAGCATCTCCTTGCCATTGTCATTTTAAATATGTAGCAATATAAGTCTTTTAATAAGCTAAAGAAAACTTGTTATGAGTAAAATTAAATTTGACTTTCTTGATCTTAGTCAAGCGAGCAAAATTTTCAAAATATATCTGTAAATAGTTATTTATTAAGAGGCACCCCAGTTCGCCGACTATTTTCATTTTCATTAAGTACTAACATACTGGCTTTATATCAACCACATTTAATTTCTCGTTTTAACCCTTTCGAAACAGTTAGAAGCAGTGGAAAGAAAATATTTCTCTATTTTCGTACCACCGTACGGTTTGCACCCCAACACATCAAAATTCTGCAATAACCACAGGCGTCCCAAGCTCACGTTACTAGCTGTTACGTACATTAACTTTCTCACAACGGAGTCGGTGTCGCGTTACTTGGTATAAGAAATAAAATACAGGAGTACCCAACGACACTTGAAAAATTTCAAAAGTGATTGGATATCGCTCCCAGTAATATTTTAACAGTCACTAATTGTTTTTTGGTTGATTATTAACTTTTCTGGCAAAATTACATCCGCTTCCCAAGGCCAGCTAGAGCTACAAGTACATTTGAAAGTACAATATCCAGCCAGGATCTTTACCTTAAGGGCTTTTCCCAGCCAGGATTTTTACCAAAAAGGCGTGTCCTTAGCCAGGAATGTCTCTTTTTTCCCTTTTTTGCCAGCAAAAAAAAAGGTAACCGACATTTAGCCAGCCAGGAAAATAAATTGAGCCATTTTATCCGGGTGATACGACTTTGTATGAGAAATAAAATACTGAGGCCTGTGCGAACGCTAAATATCATTACCCTTACTTATTTCTCTACAAAATAAATAAAGAAGTCTTACCTTTGATGTATTCCTGTGAGTTTTGGTGTGAATTCATCGATTTAGTCGAGTTATTTGGCTGTTGTTGTTTGACCTCTGTCATCTCTGTCACTCTCTTCATAGTACGAAGTATAACAGGCAGCACAGAAAAACAGCAAGCGGTCTGACCTCGTCTACTCGAAGGCAGTTTGCAGCCCGAAAACCCATCGAATCGCAGATTTTTTTTTGAGCAGAGGTAAACTTCTACCATTGCTGCACCGCAGTAAACATTTAAAAGCGAAATATCCCCACGCATGTTGCTGGAAATGAACACTGTGATACGGCAACTGGACAGGGGGCGTTAAATTTCCCTCGACCGCGGGTGGTTCAGTCACAACAACAACACCAAATGCTTTATTTGCATGACCATAAAGGAATTACAGTATTGCAAAAGCTATTAGTCTAAATTTAAGTACTAATTCAACTAACTAGTACGTGCAAAACATTACAAAACGTTACAGTTCTCATTCATTCATTCATTGATATTAATTTGGTTCTTAATTCAAAGCACTGCGAGATAAATGAAACTAATTGACAGTTAATTAAATAATCAGAAAAATTCATAAGAAGAGATATTTAAAAAGTATCGTGTGAAAGTGATTTGAAGTCAGGTATTTTAGTTTCTAGTTTGGAGAAAAATATGTCTCTGATCTGAGATAAACCTTACTATCTAGTAAGAAATGATTTTCATCTTCGATTTTGTTACTTGTACAAAAGTGACATATCCTTTCATTGCGAGGAATGTTTTCGTATCTACCTGTTTCAATTCTAAGTTGATGACTACTTATATATATTCTAAATCTAACTAATGCTTTTCTCGAAGGGTTTTTTCTTGTTAAAACTAGGTACGGCGAGGGGCTATAGTCGTCTTTGATGGTACAATAAAAACTGAGTTTTTGTGATTGTTGAAGGGTCTGATTCCAGTAAGAGACGTATTTATTTTTCATTATGCCGATATACCTATATTAACTATTGAGTCACTCAATGAATTACAGGAAAAGTCATAGTTTAGATCATGGTAGTCAACCATTTTCATGAGATTAGAGTAAAAGCAAGTTTTTCCGTTATGATGAAGGTCAACTGAAATTTGTAAGGCCTGTTTAACTATAGAATCTTCATCTTTACCTCTCAGATAGTCTAAGTAATTTAGAATCTTTTTATTCATATCAATGATCATGGGAAATTTCCCGAGTTCAGCTCTACAAGTAATTCACATACAACATCACCCCATCCGCACAGCTGTTTGAAATGCCCCTGTGTGGATGGGGTGATGTTGTATGTAATTGACTGAACCACCCTCGGTCGAGGGAAATTTGATGCCCCGTGTCTAGTTGCCGTATCACAGTGTCCAGAGCCCGGTGAAATTATTCAAGGACAGATTGCTTTTAAACATACGGTTCAATGCGTTATCAAGCAAACCGTTGTACTCTTGTTGCACCTTAGAACGGAGTATAAAAAATTGGCCCATTTTTAGAACGGGGTATCAGTTTTAGGGCGAATTCTAGAACGGGGTAAAAAAAATTGGCCCATTTCTAGAACGGGGTATCAATTTTAGAGGAAATTTTTTCCAGAACGGGGTGCCAATTTGGAGTCCCGTGCGGCACATACCCACCCAAAAAATACCCAAGTGCCCCCCCCGGGGTCCAGAGTAAGAAGGTATTTTGGACAAGGCTCGAGGAAATGTTCATTTCCAGCAACATGCGTGGGGACATTCGCTTTTAAACGTTCACTGCCGTGCAACGATGATAGAAGTTTGCCTCTGGTCGAAAAAATCTGCGATTCCATGGGTTTTCGGGCAGCAAACCGCCTTCAAGTAGACTAGAGGGAACTTCAGATAGAGGTGTTTTCGGGGCGACGGCGACGGGACTGGCAGAGCAATCCTGGAACAGAGGTAGCCGTCGCTTCCCTCCAAAATTCGAACATTAAGATCGCAGTGCACTCAGGAAGACGGCGCCTTGGAAGACTACCGAAGAGGAAAATATGGCTTCACATAAAGAACTAAGAGAATTAATGCTTAATTGCTTGTATGCAACAACAACAACTTTATTCAGTATTCCCACGTTAGTACGTGGTGTTACAAACTATTCTAAACAATTTTCAATACATACGTTTCATTTATACGAAACTCTAAAGAAAATATGAGCTAAAAACACACAATTAAAATATCGGAGTTCACATTCTTTGTCGGGATACTCTCATTTGGCTCATAAGACTATTTTGTCCATGTACAGCTCACTTACGGTTTGCTGCTTGCCATGTTGGATCAGATTGGATCTTGACTCTGTGACATGAAACATAGAAACAATATAAAGATGTAAGTTTGGATAACAGAGCTTGGAAATCGAGCTTGAAATGTGACTCAAAGAAAACAAGGACAATTTAAGAACGATAATCTGCAAAATTCAGGTTGTTAAATGCAACAAACCTGATTGAAATGAAAGTTAAATACTCACGTTCTCGCCACAACGCCAAACAGACCAGTTTCACGTTGCCGACGGGAGCACGACGGTTAAAGCACGACGGCGTCACGTCCGGTTGAATGCCGTCGGAAAACAGGGACAAGAAAGACGTTTTTGAGCATGCGTCAATATTGCACAAATCATGACGTCACGTCCGGTTGAAAAGACGCCGTCGCTCTCCCCAATGATGCAAAAAGTCCACTTCGTCGTCCATCCCTAAAAACCCTGTTGCTTAAGGTCAGACCGCCGGTTGTTTTTTGGTGCTGCCTTTACTTCGTATTATGAAGAGAGTGACGGGGGTCAAACAATAACAGCCAAAAAACCCGACTATATCGATGAATTCACACCAAAAACACAGGAATACATCAAAGGTATTTAGCCTTTGCAGACCTCAGTATTCAGACAAAGTCTCAACGGTCGCTTGTAACGCGACACCGAGGGCGCTTTCCATTTAGGAAAAAAACCCGGAAAGTTTGGTGGTAGGAAAAGTAGAATTTCCGATTGGTAAAAAGTTGTTCCATTTGGTCGTAAACCCCGATACGTGGCAGTGCCCGACCGTGGACCTGGAACTGGTACAAACTACGAGAAACGTAAATGAAACACGACATTCCGTTCGGAAATTCCAACCGGGAAAACGGGACCACCTTTATAGATTTTCCACTTTTTCTGGGAATTTTCCAGTGGGACGAACCGACGAAACGTGTTCCATTTACCGCCGAACCGGAAATTCCGGAAATTTTGACTAAATGGAAAGCGCCCCGACTCTCTTGTGAGAAAGTTAATTTACATAACACACACGTAACGTGAGCTTGGGATGCCTGTGGTCTGACATGCTAAAACCGGAACTGAGAACCGAGGTATCGGTTTCTGGCTGAAAAAAAGATCTTCCTGTTTGGTTGATCCAAAAACTGTATGAAAAACATTATTGTTACATCAATCATCTAAGTGAAAATCAGAGATAGTCAGCACTTTACCCTGTGAACATTGGGATGGTTGTGTCAATTATCTTCGCATATTATATTTATTTTAATATACGCATAAGCAATCGACGTGCCGTTTGCAGATATATTTCAGCTCTCTCTGTTCGACCACTTGTCCCCTCCCTTAAAAATACTTCCCTGTTTTGCTGAAGGTGTTTCAGTTTTTCCTGGATAAAGTTCTGTTCCTCTAGTTATCTCCTGTTCGCCTCGAGGAACAGAACTTTATCCAGGAAAAACTGAAACACCTTCAGCTCTTTTATCTCCAGGGTACCCTTGTTTAGAGAGCTAGATCGTTATGAACTTTGTCGCATTCTCCTAGGATAACAATAGGTAATTAGAACAAACACTGGAGTCTCAAGTTAATCAGTAGACTGGATAACAAGGTTATGTGGCACAGTTTTACTGCACTAGCAGTTTCCAAATTTTGGGGCATAATAATTTGGTGCTCAAAGGAAGCCATATTAAATCTCTTTGACAGTACGAGTTTTTTTATTATTATTTTGCAAATAGTGATTGCCACTTTTGGACTGTCTCCTTCTTGCTGACATGTGAGAAGGGAGATCAATTCAGTTTAAGAGGTCAACTGGTAAGCTCAGTCACAACACAAAGCAGGTCATCTCAGTCGCACGTAATCACATTTTTACGAAATAAGAGTACTCTGACATCGCTAGAACGGCTGCGAACAGGATTTATGTGGTTTGCTTTATGATTATATTGTAATAGGATGGGAGATCTTCAATGCCGCAAAGCACAACAGGTAAACTCTCACCTACATTTATGTCCAAACATTGTCTAACTCAGACACTTGAAATAACAAGGTAAGTGCAACTTCTTCCTCAATCAATCCGTGACCTTAGAGACCAATTTGTCTTTGGTGCGTGTCTTTAGTCTACTCTAAATCCCTCGGCTTCTCAGACTACAAAGTTTGCAAATATAGCATCTTCCTGTGGACTGCCTATTTCAAAAAGTAAAAGTGTTACGGTCAGTAAAGTCTTTGTGTTTTCCGTTTATGTTGCGCTAATCGTAACGGGCGCCCGCCAATTCCTTATAATCGGTTGTGGATCATTTTAAGGTGGCCTGTTAATTAAGTATTGCAAAGCACTGCTCGACCACAACAAATCAATTCAATTGTCAGTGTGATAGCTATAAAGATATCGCACAAAGGTCTATAGGAGTTGTTTTACAATACTGTAGTCTCGACACAGAGGCACCCAACGACAATTTTCGGAAAAATATCTGTTGGGAAGGCGATTTGAGATCTAGAATTTTCGAAACATTTGTTGTAAAATTTCTTGCTTGCCTGCCTCTCCTAGGATTTTCGGACATCTAAAAAAAGGTATAATTGCCTATTTTTAACGGATTTTTACCCTAAAAAGTTCACCTAGAATTTTCGTGAGCTTTTTTCTGGCTAAAATTTTCGAAAAGGTAAGTTTTGATCCCTATAATTTTCGGATCACTTGACTTTCAGCTAGGAAATCCGAACAGATGAAAAATTTCCAGGGGATAAAAATATGCCTATAT